AACGCAGGACATGCAGGAACGAAATCGAAGTTTCCCTCCGCTCGTACCTCAGACAGTAGTGTCTTTATTCTGTTCGGTAGCAGAAGATGGAGGGTTGGGGGGGGGTTACCTAGCGGGGTGTGCTTGGTAGCGGCCGCTTGAAGCCACGCCGCTTCACCGTTGGACCGACTGCCACGGAGGTCGCGATGGGGTTACCCCAATTAGGGATGGACACAGGGTCCTTAATGAGGAGAGGGGATGAAAGGGTTGCCAATTACTCGCCTCGGCTTTGTACTGAAAACATCCCGGCGCTGGAAAGACCCCAGCTTGATTAACCTTCAACAGCTCTAACTGTGTTTATTCTCCGCTTGAAAAATGTTAAAGGGGCGCTCGTTAATTAGTGCTCATGGTGTTTGAACTTTTTTTTCTTTTTTTTTTTTAAATTCTCTTTTTTTTTTTTTTACAACTTAAGTGTTAATTTGGGTTTATTGGAGTCAAGGGTCCATTGTCAGTGGGGCTCTGCTTAAAACACAAGCACGTTATACTTGCGGTATATATATTCACGGCAAAGTGTTCAATTGGCCCTCTTAAGGATAGAGAAACTTGGGAACCCTGCAAAAAAAATAAAAATCTTCTAGATGGAGAGCAAATCACATTCTTACAAGCCAAAGTAAAAAAACTGCTCTTTATACGTCTTGCTTTAAAAAATAATGTTTACAGGTTTACTTTGTTCTCTGTTCAGCTGTTAGTCATATGGTCAGCTGATCACCTGATCACCAGTAGTTTCACCACTTGTTTAAAAAAAAACCTCATCCTCTGTCAAACAGGTTTCGGACCGGATGAAGTAGACTGAAAGTATGTATCTCTGCAAAAAGAAAACCCAGGGCCTTCAAACCCTAGCAGGCCTCTTACTTAGTCCAATCCATAACAGTTGTATTTATATGGTACCAAAACACAACTGTCACAACATCTCAAAGATGTCACAGATTGATTTACAGGGACTTATATTCTGGTTAGTGTTTCCAACATCCTCTGGATGGAGTTGGAGGTTTCACACCACATCTGCTTTGCATCCCCCCCCCCCCCACACCAAAAAACCTACCGACTCGGTAACCTGAACGGCCTTTCTTCCTTCTTTAGGAAACTATTTTTGCCTCCTCTGTCCTGCTCCACACGTGCTCGGCCTCTTACCGCTTTGTGGTGTTCTCCCACTGGCGCTGTCCCAGAGCACGAATCCACAGCTGCTTGATAAAGAGCTTTGTTTTGAGTCAGCAGTTTCCCGCACCCATCTTATTCTGCTGCAGGTGTCTTTGGGGGTATCGCTTATGTCTAATCTTTATTTTCCCTATATTACTTTGACTTATTACTTTTCTCTGAAGGCTCATAAAGTTCAACGCTATTGTCATCCACGTTGCAGTAAATAAGAAAAGTATGACATATTTAGGTTCCCAAATTGCCTAAATGACCACAACATTTTTGAAAAGCATAGAATTCTGAATCTTATTCAGTCACACATACATTGCGGACTCTCAGTCTTATTTTCTGTACTCGCATACCTAAACATAAATGCAGCATTCTCTGTCTGATAAAGTAATTAGCTACTCTGCCTTTTTCGCTGCAAAACAGATTTCAAATCCAGTTCAAGCCAATCTCAGAAAAGTTTCACAACGTCACACAGCACGGTCATGCTCCCAAACAATCCAAAGGAATTGGATTTCACGGGCCAGATAAAGAGGAGGGTTCGCTCCAGGGCTTAGCACGTCTTGTGGACGATGCGTCGTGGGGGGGCGGTGGGGTTTAAAGGGGCATCTTGAAGTTAGACTGGCTTTGGAAAGGTCAGAGCAAGTAGTTTTCTTACGCATTCATTTAAGTTTTCTTTTGTAAAGAAGTAAAATCAATTCCATAAACTTGTAATCCAGTCAGCCAGTGGACATCAGCTACTGCTCTGTGAAACACCTATTAAATTACCCTTAAGGGTTTATAACTAGTTTTTTTTTTTCTGATTTAATGCTATTAAAATATACTCTGTGGTTCACGTTCTTAGTTATTCATACGAGTGCTGATGTGCACAGCCTGTTGTCTAGTCCCTGTGTACTGCATTGATTTTTGCATCAGGCGTATAGAGTTTCTGCCCTGTAACGTATTACATCTGCATTGATCAGGACAACTTGTCTTGGAGACAGGCGTACGAGAGTTGTAAGAACAGACCTCACTGCTGGCTTTCACTTTCATTAATTTCAATCATGGGATTTCTTTTTTTATTTATTTTATATTGAAGCATCTCATTTATTAAAAAATGTATATGAATTACAACATTTTTCTGGCAATAGCTTTGATATGTGTTGCTTTTCTGTTTGGTTTATTTCCACATTTTGCTTCTCTCTGTAAGGCATTTTGAATAATATTCTTGTTTGAAAACTGCTGATACTATTAATGACACTACTAATAAAGCTGGATTGGATTTAAGTGGCTCCCCACCACAGCAAACCAATGTAGCTTTGCAGAATTTCTACTAACAAATACCAGAAAGTGCCATGAATTGCATTGGCTTGGTCATGCGTTGAGTCTCAGAGACCCACGCGCAGCTCAGACGTCGCTTCTCCTGTGGGCCGAACATCCACCCGATTCATGATAATCGCAGATTACTGCTCAGTGACTCATTAATGTTAAAGCAAGTCCAGGGAATTTAGTCATTTCTCGCTGTCCCTCTTTTACCGTAATTGTAACCCAAAAAAAGAAAAAAATATGTGTAAACCCTGCACATTCACAGCTATGATAGGGAGGAAATATATTTAAAGGGATTAGGTAAGGTGTTGTCATGGGACCTAGGAAAAAGGCTGTATCATTGGTCTACTTGTTAGAAAACAAACAAGTTTTCAAGATGAAATTTCAAAACAAAACTAAAACGAGTTCATTCAAAATACAATGTTTCCCCTTCTCTGATTTATTTTATTTATTATCATTATTATTTATTTTATTTTATTAGCTTTTTTGGGCTCTTGCCATGCGCTGCAAGACCGAAGACCAAAAAAAACAAACATTTTCCTTGTTAGCCTGAAAAAGGACGCCAATGATGATTATAAATTACGTTTGAATCTCTATTAATATAAAATGGGTAAACAAACTGCCTTTGGACTGTTCTTTATATTTTATTTAGTCCTGATTGGGTAACTGAAGCAAATGTCTGGGGCACACTTTTCTTTCGTTTAATGATAGAATGCCGCCACACTTGATGGACACAAAGTCATGAATGTATTCTATTTAAATGTTGGCAGATTTGCTTACTGAGCCAAGCACAGGACAGGAGGAAAGAAGAAGAAGAAGGTTACTGGCCTAGCAATAACAGATATAAAAGCTTTCATGGTCCCCTTTTTTCTGCGATCCTTGCAGCGATATCCAATGGGATGTTTATTCTTAAAGTATCCCCCTTGTAGTTTTTCTTGGGCTCCGTTTCACCTGTTACTGTGTAACTGTTCAGAATAATTCTCTTGAAACTGTCAGTGCTCACCACACATGTGCCCTGATTTAGCTGGTTGGGTGAACTGAACCATCACACGGTTTGGCACATGTTGAGAGAAACGCTGACAGAAACAGTTGTAGATAAGAGAATGGTGGTGGGGGGAGAGGGGGAAGGGATTCATTTTCTGCCCCCTCCTGTGAAATATTTGTGTCTTGCCATCAAATCATCCAGATTGGGGAAACAGATAAATCCTTGTGACCTTTAAATCCTAAATATGCAAGGAGTCTTTGTGTGTGACACTGCGTTTGGACCAAGTTCAGTTGGGTCCTGGGTGGGGCAGGGTGACAGCATGTGGCTCTGCCCAACCAATTTCTGATTAAGACTGGATAAAATGCACTATATCATTGATTTACTCTGAAACAATCACTCAAATGGAACCAAAGCATTGGGTAAGCGGCTGCTAGGCTTTAGATGTTCTAGAAGTCAACATGGGATTTTCTATTTGATTCCGTTTTTTGTTTTCAACTCATCTGGCTTAGTTAAAACAAAAATTTATAAAAAAAAGGCTTTTGTTCCATCTCCTACAATTCACGGCTCTGAACTCCACATCCCGCGGTAATCCAGTGAGGGTTAGCAGAAAGCCGGGCTCCGTCTCACTCTCTGCCTCCTCCCAGATCAGATGAGATTAGAAAGGGGCTTAGGACGCTCTTGGAGATGAGAGAAGGCAGGGTTCAGAAACACAGAGGCTGAAATCAGGAGGGACATAAGCAAGGCAGGTGGGAAAGAGGAGAAGAAGCTGGAGAGCTGAGGGGAAACTTAACCCGAGGTTGGGACGGATGCTGACTGAGGTGCGTGATGAAGAAGGGGAACGACTCCTTTTAAATATTCTTTTGTTGGGTCCCCATCTGTGTTTTCATGTGTTTTGTTGCAGGTTTAATGGAAATCCAGTGGTCGCAGATTAGATTTGAAAAGGAAAAAACAGTTATCTTGCATTAAACAGTCCTTACGTTGACAAGCTGGTGGGGTATTGTAAATTTTGTTTTTGTTCTGCAGGTTGGTCAGTTCAAACATATTTCCAAAGCTGATGAAAACAGGCCATTTCTGTGACAGCAAGACGAGCGATCTAGACTTTCCCGCAAGGGACAGAAACCTGAAAACTCATCCTAATGAAACATTAGCTCCATCTCCGCGGTCTAATTCGATCAATGTCTGCGTCCCTGACAAGCTGCACGATGCTATTTATCGTTGGTCTGCTAACTCGTGTGCAGAGCCGGGTTTCTGGTAACCCCTGTCGGTTTTATAAATGGCCCGTATTAAACGGTGCGCACAGGCACTGACTGTACCCAAACTGTGTGTCGCTGCTCATTCGGTGTCTCCAGAATAAGATGATAATCAAGCTGACTGTGACTGTGTCTCTCTTTCAGCGCGCCATGCCAAGCTGAAGCCGGCGTAACAGCAGCTGACAGCGGGACTATGTGTTAAGGATTCCCCTCCTCAATCTTTAACGACCTCCAGCCCGCTGATATTCCTCTTTGCCCTGTTATTGGAACTTGCTCTGGCAATGGGGAGGAAGAAGATTCAGATCACGCGGATCGTGGACGAAAGAAACCGACAGGTCTGTGAAGCCTCTCCCCATCTGTCCCCTCGCATCGCGTCTGCTGACTGTGTGTTGGTGTTTCCTGCATTAGAAAAACTTTGGGGTCGTGCCTCCTATGCACATGAGCCGTGTGTGAGTGCTGGTGCTGCCGCTTACGTTTTACAGTGCTGCACATTCTCGTTCGGAGGCTGCCGAGCAGTCCGACTTTCTTCTGATCTCCTCAAGTTTTTGTCCAGCGGCAGTCATCCAGGCTTCCTGAAGGATTTCGCAGGTTTTTGGGGTACTTAGATTGCTTTTCCTGCTCATTTCCATTCCTCCTTTATTACCAGACCGCTTGCTTTTTTGTTGGTCAAGCAACTTAACTCTGACCCAGGGCTAATTCAAGAGCAAGAATAGGAACCAGTGGCAAACGCAAGTGACCTGTCCCCATTTCTTGAACTAGAGGAAAGCTGCGCTTAATGCAATTTGACCGTTGTTACGGCGACAAAATAATTAGATGAAAACTATATTATTACGATATTTCAGCATCATATGTCATATAAAAAAACAGCATAAATGGGATGGGTAGATCTATTTATAGGAGATTGAGCGTTATCAAAAGTAATGTTTAGTAGCAGAGGGAAAAAAAAGAATTATTCCTGAATATTACTTAAAGAAGTGACAAGAAAGCTTGTCTAAGAAGGTTTCTGAATGTGAGAAAAAAGGCATTTGTTCAAATGTCTTTTTGACTTTTACTCATCATGTTCGAATAGATTACTACCTCAAGCCAAAAAAAATAGGGCAGGCTCAAGACCCCTTACACTGTTTGGCAGTGAGAGAACAACAAGCAGCGGAGTAGTTTTGTGAGCGCTCAGTTGTGTAGATTTCATGGCGCTCGTTGCTTCTCAGCCCCAAAAAGCGCTCACTCTTAACAGCGTTTGTTTCCCTTTCTTAATTCCAGAAGGGGCGAGTGAAAGTGAAATGGAGCGTTTCCCATTGGGAGAGAAAAATATTGGGCTGCCAGGCTCATCCCTCAAGCAACCCGATCTTTATTTGATCTAAGGAGGGCTCAGAGGTTCCTCTTTGACGTTCGGCTTTTCGGAGCGGAGCGAACACAGCTGGTGGCGAGGGCGGCAATTTCGGGGTTAGCCAGATTCGGACAGCACCCTGTCATTAGCAGGGCGGGTCAGTGTCGGGGACACACTGTGGCCTTCTCTCCTCGCGTCTCCTCACGCGGCCACACTGCTGCCCACTGGAATCCCTCACTGTCTGTCTCCTCTATATATATCACCCCCCACAGCACAACAAATACCAGCCTGTCTGGAGAGAAGGCAAAGGCTCTGGAAATAGGGATGTGGCTGGAAAATAAATATCTCGGGTTATGTTTATATTTGATGTTTGGTTGTCTTGGCCAAGGGTTTTTTTTTTTTTCTCCTTTGGACACTGCTTTAGTTGTCTGGTGGGCACTATCACTGGAGCCCGTCGTATATATTTAGATCCTCACACTATTTTTAGGAAGTTGGCTCGTGGCCTTGTTTTTTTCTGTCAGGAACATCAGCCGTTTATTTGTGCGGCTTTTCTTCTTCTTTTTCCAAAATTCCATCATAGTATTACACAACAGGTGGAAACAGAGCAGCAGCATTATAATGTAGAGTTGCATTGTCGCTACAGGTTCCAAACTGTTTGGAACTCATGTTCAAAAAGTAATCATTTCAATGTACATGTAAAAAGGCGCGCGAAGAAAAAAGTGCAATCTTACTTTAGAATGGTAGAAGACAGGCGTTTGGTTTGGAAAACGACATTTTCATTTACAACGGCAGCAATGAATTGGACGCACCTGATTTGGCAACATTGCACAGCTTGGTTTGATGTGAACTCTGAGAACACGGGTTCTGAGTAGGGTTTTCTACAGTAACGCTCATCCTGGATCTCTAGTGGCGGGTCCAGGGCACAAAATGCAGGCGTGAACGCACTGGGGACGCAGTCGGGACTTCCTGAGATCTCCTCTCTGATACCACTTTCTGCCAGCCCTGTGGATGCAAATGTGTCTGCAGCCACAGTGAGGGATTGTGTACTCGGTGTACCTGCTTCCAGCCAGGGGAAAAAACAAAAAACCCCATTAGGCTCACTCAGAAACCAGTGGCTGTTTTTTTTTTGTTTCTCTTACACAGATGAAGAAAAAAAGGCTTGAAAAAGCAGGTTGCTGGTCTGAAAATGTATGCTGCGGATACAGGTGCGGCACTGGAGCAATAAAAGCCATTTATGTATTAATTTTGTCACCGCTTGTGACGGAAAAAAGATGCGTGAATGTAATGGGTTATACTTTACATACGTGTTGTTGCATCGCCCATGTTGGGGGATGTTCTTTGAAGTACTTTTACGACTGTGGCCAAGAAACAATGCTGTTACTGTCCGAATGATCTCTTCACTCTATATCATACATGCCCCGTGTTGAGCTCTCTACAGCTTTTTTGGTTCAGGTGAAGCTTAGAGTGGGCAGCAGCCGATAAGTCCCTTCACACAGAGCTCCGATTTGCGCTGCATCTTCATAATGTTAGCTTAAGGTGCGATGCTTAAAAACAACCTCACCCTAAAGGGTTTAAATCTTAAGATGTCAGTCACATTTCAGGAGCATTCCGCCTGACGGGCAGACAAACAAATGCACTCCTTTTTGTTCTTCTGTTGCCTGTAACACTGTGCAATATGAAGTACAGCATACAGAAACTTCTCTTACTGGAGAAAATCCCCCCAAAATAATTTGCAATAACCTATAAAACAACTCAGCTTTTCTATCCATGTGAAGATGGTCAGCAAACTAACTCAGAGGAAGACTGAACTACATGCAGAGTGGCCTTCCTGTGAACTCCTTAAAACCTGCGTGGGATGGACCACTGTATGAGTACACACTTGAAAGTTATTTGACATCATTAAGGTAGTATCAGAGAGGTGGCATGATCTATACGGTTTTAACAGTTACATTATGGGACTTTAGAGACCAGCGTGTGGTTAAATTCTGAAGTGAAACCGCTCAGACAAGACTGGAAGAGCGGCTATGTGGGCGAGCACCGCCCGACGCCCGACAAAAATAAAGGCGTAAGAGAGTCTGAAGAGGATGTGTCAGGATTCCTGGGGTTGTGATGCACAGAAGGCACACCCGGACAAAGGCGGGCGGTTCACTGGTAAGAGTTAGCCGCCCACTGAAAAAAAGGGATGAGGATAGAGCCTGATCCGCGCGTGACCCGTGCGCTCTGAGTGGGCCGCGTGCGAGCGTGAAACGGGCCACTCCAAGCGCCGTGCCTCGGTTTCGCGGCTTAAAAAGGACGTGGAGGTGTTTTTGGAGTGACTGTTGACCCTGCAGAGGCCGCGGTACAGTGTTGGAGTGTGTGCCTGTCTGACGTGCTTTTAAGTTCTGTACTGACGTCTACACAAAAGAAAACAGATTGTAAACCCTGAAAAATGTACATGATGAAACCACCTTGTCAGTCTCCTCTTGTATAGCTGGGCTAACTTCTTCTGTTATTGTTGTTTCTGCTTTGTTTGCTTTCCCCAGGTGACTTTCATGAAGAGAAAGTTCGGTCTGATGAAGAAAGCGTACGAGCTGAGCGTCCTCTGCGACTGCGAGATCGCCCTCATCATCTTCAACGGCTCCAATAAGCTGTTCCAGTACGCCAGCACCGACATGGACAAGGTGCTGCTGAAGTACACGGAGTACAACGAGCCCCACGAGAGCAGGACCAACTCCGACATCGTGGAAGTGAGTGGGAGAAATCCGTGGGTGGCCTCTGACTCAGAGCGGAGCAGAATGCAAATGGGGCATTACACGCCACCCTTTCTGCCTCGCCTCGCCGCTTGCCAAGGTGTCGCACGGTTACGCAGGGCTCTTTGATTTCGCTCCTCTGCGAGAGAGAGTAGTTTTCCCCCTCTTCTCCGGCGCACGGAAGCTTTCAGTTTCCGTGCGGTGGATTGAGGAAGGAAATGACCGCAGTTGTTTTTCAGAGAGGAACTCCTCGAAAGCACAACCTTGGAGGAGCTGTTTCAGAGCACTGACAGTTGATTTTCTGTGAAAATGTGAGGAATCGGAAGCCACATTTCGTGCACTTTGGCATGACAAAAGGGGAAGTTTAACAAACACCCCCCCCCAACAAGGCGCTTACAAATCTGCCTCAAGGAATATTGTAATCATCGTTGGTTGTCATGATATCTGTCAACACAACCCTATGTTCATAAAGGGTACAATCTCTATCTGTATCACTTTAAACTATGCTATAGGATTTGCTTTTCTAATAATCTTTACAAATGATAGAGATTGGTGAAATATTTCAGAGTAATTGCTGCAATAAAGCTTGTATCATGCATTACGCAAATAAGCGATTCATTACAAAAAGACAAAAACATGTACGAACTCTTGAATTTTGGTGCTATTGGTTTTGATTAGATTGTACAGATGGACGTTTATTAAAGAAGTAGTTAATAGTTTAAATAATAGAAAAGTGTCTTTTGGGGAAAATAATATTTTTTCCGGGATTAATCTTCCAGATGTGTGAATAGGTCATGTGGCAGAAGTTCCACCTGTTCAGTGTAAGGTTGTCCCCCCCCCCCCCGAGGGCCTCAGGGGACTTTCCTGAAAATGTTGCCAAACTCAGAACCCAAACGGAGACACAGAAAAAGCCTGTTGTTCCCGAACTCATCTCCGTACATGTAGGAAATGCATAGGTGGGTCGCACAGAGGGGTGGTTGTTTGTGTTCCTCTGCTGCAGACCACAAGTGGACACCTGCGTCAGCCATGAGCGCGGCTTAATTTGCCCACTCTCAGCTTCATTTGTTTATTGCCACTAATGTCATGCCGACGGACGAGCTTACTAAAACAAAGCCAGGAAAGCAAGTGGCTGCTCCTTTACATATTGGTCAGACCATTTGCGACATGTGCGCTAGAAATTTGACTATGTTTATGAGGCAGCCCCCCTGGCTACAACAGAAGCCATGTGGCAGGTGGGACGGGTGGAAAGCTTCTTTGGAACCATTGTCTTTGCTAAAACATTCTTTTATGATGATGGATATACAGATAGTTACAACTTACTTCTTCCTTTGAAACAAAAATGCACAGACTTTGACATAATACAGAGTATAGACGTGTAAATATGTAAATGTAAACAAAATGCAATGATTTGCATTGCATGTTTTGAAGAATATGCGTTTACTTTGAATTTGACGTCAGTTACACGTCCAAAGATAGTTGGTACAAAGGCATGTCATAAGACCACAATACAGTTTTCCGTTCTACATCATTTCATTTGAGATCAGCACCTAGGGAAGTTTTTTTTCCTTGATTTATTTATCTAACGTTTAATTTAACTTATGTTTGTGAGTTCAGTGCCCCCAAAGTGCTTTTTAATGCATTGCCTATTGTCTGATTATAAAAAAAAAAAAAAAAAGATTAATGTCTCAGAAATTTTTCACCGTCTAAAAATATATATTTAAAACGTTTGTGGCACCAAGCTCAAAAATAGCATAATTTGGATTAAATAAAACAAACCAAAAATATTATCTGTTTCAATATTTTATACTACGCCTTTGCACTCTTCTGATTGAAATAAAGGGTTTAGATTTTTTATTGGTATAAAGTTCTCAGTTATTGTGTTTAAATGACACTTAAAACACTTTTGGAATAGAATAATGAATACTGATCTCTTTAAAATATGGGTTAAAATGTTAGTACAACAGGAAATCAAGCCTCTCCACACCCGGATAATCTGGCTGGACATCAAATCCAGCATGTATATACAAAGTTTCTCCTTCTTCCACTGGACTGTATTAATTGGGTTATTTCCCATAGAGCTATTCTCATTCACGCATTAACACTCATTCACCGATCAGATGGACACACATGCCAGAAACTGTGTCTGACAGCAAGCCAATTAGACGAAGATTCAGAACGTTTCAAACATTTTCAGACGTTGGAATATCTTGAACATTTAAATGTACCATCTGTCATGGCATAGGGTTTACGTCATTTTTATAACTTTGTCACCCTTCAGTACATGTTTGCTGGGGCAGTGATCTAGTTAATAGGCCGAATCCGGCTGCCAATGAAGCTGCCAATGTCTATTCTCTCTGTTTTTTAGATTTACTTTTTATATGTCTGGAGCCCTTATTTATGACCTCAACTAGTAGAACATCACTACTGTGGCATCACTGTGGTATCGGTAGTCCATTGTAGTCAGAATCCCACCACGAATTTGAGAAACAAGTCTCACTTTTTGCTGGGATTATAGGTGTAGAGATACGAGCCATTTTTTATGATATAATGATAACACTAAAAGCCCAAAGCCTCCTGTTCAGTCGCTTAGTTTAATTTTTGGGCCTTTCTTTCAATTAGTTTGCCAGGCATTTATTTCAAATGTCAGCTAAACATTTACATTGGTCAGCTTGCGTATATGGACCGTACCGGACGGTTCATGCCTCTTTCAGGCTTCCAGTTTAGGTTTCGAATTTTAAGAGAGTCACTCTAATACCCTCCTTTAATGTTGATTGTGTTATTTCTGGTTAGGTAACACAAACATCAGCTGCATCTGTCATGGTTGTGTGGTTGTTCTAATTAAGGATGTCCAAACTGTCCAGGTTGACATCAGTATTTGAATATGTGAAATTGGTGGAACGTTTGTGCTGCATGCACTACAGCGTGATTCAACCAGAATATCAAAGACGGCACTTGGCAAACTGTAAGTTCAAAATCCTTCAATCCCAACGATCCAGGCTGGATGATTAGCAAAACCAAAAAAAAACACTTCTGAAACCTCCTGAAGGAATTCATCTCCATATGGAGGGGATCAAACTCTAATAGCCTTAAATTAACGTGGAAACCCATCCAAAGTCCTCACCGGTCAGTGAAACCTAATGATGGATTACCTTTGTCATAATAATGAGTCAGGCTGCTGTCCAGTAGAACGGAGCCTCAGAAACAATTGAGCATCCAGCCAAAATATGCAGTTCCCCTCATGTTGGCCCGCAGAGCCCAGAGATGCATGAAAGTCAGAAAGAGAAAAAACTACAGCCGAGGGAAACCTGACGCTGTGGCAAGCAGCACAGCTGTTGATTTGGTTTGGGTCTGAATGCTAGTGTTTCATACAAAAACAACCAGTGGAAAGTCTGTGTGTGCGTGCCTCTTTGTGTGTGTTCAAAGTGATGGAGCGGGGCTTTTTTTTTCTCTGCTTGTGATGTGTCGGATCACATCTCAAGCACTGCCCTATTCTTAGCCCACGGGGCAGTCATCCGACTGGAAAAGACTCACTGCAGGGGCAGAGCGGGCTTTATTTTATCTTTGATGCGGTCCCAAGAGCTACAAGACATCACCCTCGCATGTTAAGATGCTTAATGTTGCGACTCATGCCTCGTGGTGGCAATGATCCAGATGCCTTTGGAGATCCGCTAAAGCTGACTTTGACATTTGAGATGATAAGGAGACACACACACACTTTCGGATCCTGTAACAGACACTTAGAGATAGTCCGCAGAGGCCAGACATGATGTAGTGCTTCAAACCGCCAGCTATCGAGATATATTTAACCCTGTGAGACCTTCCAATCCTGGTTCTCCTCTGTCCCTTTTTGCTCTCATACTGTCAATTACGAGTCCTCTAAACTTAGGGCGTACGGCCTGGACAACCGTATGCTTAAAATATGGACTTAAAGCCACCCTAAGATGCTATAGAATATTTAAAGACGCTATGGTAACAGCTGTTCCCAAACAAAACAATATTACCTCTTGTGAAACTCACCCTTACTCATTGTCTCATGCTGTGTTTCAGGCTCTAATGAGAGCAGGGTCATTTAATGCCCCACTACCAGGGTTAGAATGGAGAATTTTCCTCTGGACCTGACTTAATGCATGCTGTAAAGAGTTAAATTGTGTATTAACAATTGACAGGTAGTCAGTTAAAGGGTAGTGATAAGATTTAGGACAAATGTGCATATTAATTAGATGATTTTGTCTAATTTACAGGCTAATGTGACCACCGATGTCCTATTTTCAACTGTTTTTCTGATAGCAAGACCTTCAGAAATCCACCATATTTGTAACGGATGAAGATAAATGACGTTCTTGACCTTAGTTAAGTCACAGAGTTGAAGTAATGTGAACTTTATCCTGATTTTCTTTCAGTTGTCAACAGGTAGATTGCTGCAATTCCCCTATAACAAATGGAATGTGGGAATATTATGGGAGTGGTGGCTCTTGTTAAAAAAGAAACTGTAATAACTTGTAACCCACCAACTGTCGGTTGTTCTGCTACTTTCGAGATATAATATCACTGAACAAAACATACACTATTCATCGTAGCAAATAAAAAGGGAAAATCTGGAGTTGGATGTTAGAACTAGTCCAAAATGCTGTATGTGTTTTCCCAATTTTCCCAAATGAGATCTATGAAGAAATGTCACCAGCAATGTTAGTGTTGTTGAAAGGCTGTGGTGAAAATATACTTGGACAGAGCGTGTGTTTAAAGCTTGGAGTAACTACTACTGTCTGGGAATGCAGAGGCTATTCTGGAGTCGCAGTCAGCTGGCTGGCGTGTTGTCCTACGCTCATCCTTTTTGTACTACGATATGGGGCGCACTGAGGAGCAGTGATGAGATGATGGATACCAGAGAAATGAGCTCACTGTCCATCCTGAGAAGGATATGCCCATCATTTGATTTTCTTTTTTTTTTCTTTGGTGGTTAGTTCTCAGCCAAAATGTTAATCACCTCTCATCAGCTCATCAGTCTGTATTTCAGGTATTATAAAATAAGATAGAAATGTTTTTCATTTGTCAAACAAAGGAGAAATTTGTACAGGTGCCTTGTATTTTTATTTTTCCACCTGGCCTAATGGAAATATTTGAATGCCCGACTCCAGCATAGAAAAGCACTGAAAAACGCCAAGTGGTCAAGTGGTGAATGTATTAAGAGGAGAATATGTCCATCATTAGCTGGCTCAGCATAGTAAGTGTAAGTGCAGGAGAGGTTTGGCTGCATCATTTCTGATCAAAGGTGAAAATCCATCCATCCATTATCTGTGTCGCTTATTTCTAGTAAGGTCATCGTGGGGGTGGCGCCTACCCCAGCTGACATCGGGCAAAGGGGCAGGGTGCACACTCGACAGGTCACCAGTCCATCGCAGTCCAAAGCTGTAAACTCTTCAGCTACTTTGTATGCTTGTTATTATAGAGTTGATTATACACTATGTTATACAGTTAATCAGCTATTTTGTACGGAACTAAGCTAGTGTAAAGGCATTAAATCAAGCTAAGTGTTCATAAAAACCTGCAGCATTTTCAGTGTTGGTCTTAGGTGACAGGGTTCTTTAAGGCAGTAAAGAGGACTTTGAAACCGTGAGCAGCTGAGTTTACACGCTTGCGTTGACAACCAACGAAAAGAAAGTCCAAATATTACGGAGTTTGTTTGATACCCAGAATGGAGCTAAAAAAAAAACTGGTCTGTAGCTTTCATCTTTCTGGGAATGACTGGGAAAAAAGACCAAAACTTGTGGCTGAAGATGTTTTGTTTAGGCTTTCAGACATTTTTGGGTGGCGTCATTCCATTTGTTTGGACGCTTTTATGGCACTTAAAGTACCACTTTGAGATGTCACAAACACAAGTTTCACGTCTGCTGTCGATACTCTGCTCCTCGATTACGATTTTACAATTAGATGTAAACTTGTCCGCTAAATTTCAAGTTCTCTTCCTATCTGAGCATTTTCTGTAAATTCAAGGAAGCGTGAGACTACGCTGACTCATATTTGTGCAGGGAAGCAATGCTTTCCCTTTGACTTTTATATACCTCTTTGTTGGCTCTTGTTCCCTTCTGACAGCCAAGTCGTCTCAGTCACGCAGCGCAAAAAATCTCCAGTCTGCCGCGAACCGAGAAGAGAAAGTCTGCATCTGTTCAGAGGCAGACTACTGTAATTGTCAGCGCAAAACAAAGCAGCTCTTTGTCTGTTATGTCGCTCTGCAGCTCATGAAGTCAAACACACTGCGCAGAAACGGTCGGTTTCAGTGCCAGATGATGTTTAGGTAAGGGATGAACTCGGCCTATTAAACCAGGAGGCGTTTATCAAAACGGCTAGAAATTTTATTTTTTATTTGTAAGTGAAGCTACCCGTTGGAATTTGTCTGGTATCATCTTTAAAAATCCCTTCTTGAGTCTTTTCCCCCCCTTTAAAAAAAAAAAAAAAACATATGATGGCCATGCGGAAACATTATTGTATTGATTCTGAGATGAAAGGGTAAAAAGCTGGAGTGTGTGGGGAAATCACAAGGCTTTTTGAAGGGATGACGGTCCTGGAGGAAAAGGCCGGAGGTCACCAGTGTCTCCGGCAGCCCTTCCCTTGTTAATCATAAATGTTGGAGACAAATGTCATGGAAGCCATCTGTTGCAGAAATCATTCAACCACAAAAAGCCTCTGCAGACACCAGCATGACGCGAACCCCTGTCAAGTGTAGCTCAAACATTTCATATTCACTGTTCCAAACAAGCCACATAAAAGCTTTACAAGTGCACCCTACTTTTGATGGAAACAACATCTTTTGTGTCTGTTTCATTGGACAAAAAACACAAGGACTGCTTCAGGGAATTATTTAACGCAACATGTCCTTCTTTTCTCAGCATTTTAGTTGAAATATTGCTAGATTTCACGCCCAAACTACCGACTTCCTATTTTTTGACCAATCAATAAAATGTAATTTCTGTATTTCGTATCTCTCTGAGATTCATTGTTATGTTCTTTCTGGATGGCAATTTCCTACTCACGGTAATACATTATCCCCTCAACCTTTCTCCATGCCTTGGCTTGCTTTTTTTGATTCACAGGCCCTGAGCAAGAAGGAGCACAGAGGCTGTGACAGCCCAGACGCTGATTCCTCCTACGTCCTCACCCCCAGTACTGAGGAGAAATACAAGAAGATCAACGAGGAGTTTGACAACATGATGAAGAGCCATAAAATTGTAAGTTCAGCTCTGGCTCTAGATGAGTTGTCATGAGCTCGTGTCATTTCTTTTGTGACAATTTCACAGAAAAGCAGGTATCTCCACACAAAAGGGACGATAGTTGGGGATAATTTGTCCAAAATTCAAATGCCTAAATATCTTCATCCTTTTCGCTGTAGCCCACAGGTCAGCCCCAGCAGCCGTTCATGCACGTGGCGCCAGGCAACACCATCTACTGTCCTGGTGCAGGAGGAGGAGGAGGAGGAGGAGGAGGGGGGGGGGCGTCTCAGGCCTTAGCTGCAGCCACAGCGGTTCTGGCTGAAAGCGGGATCCTCTCCTCAGGTCACACACATCCCCACAGAGGCATGAACTCCTCACAAAGACCTGCTGGCTCTACCGCAGGTGTGTGTGTGTTCCTAATACTTACCATGTTTCTGCTTTAAGTTTTATGGAGAGAGTGATGTCGGTCAATAATGGATGCACGTCATACTGGGACTTTCAATTCATGGAAATTCTATGGAATGTGCTAGTAAAGGTGCATGAGTAAGACCAAACTGAACAAAGTGTCATTCGGTATAAAGACTATGTATTTGGAATGTCTTCTTGACATGTTTTCCATTTTAGTTTGGGGCCGTTTATGTGACACAAGCAGTTTCTGTACACTAGCCTGATGTGTACAAATCATTTACTATGATTAACTTCTATTTACTATGGCAAACACTAGCAAATGTTTATGGAGTGGCACCCAAGTGGACAAATTCTGCATGGAAAGAAAAAGTAACAACCAGTTTGTGTGTGTGTGCTTTTGTGTTCGTGTTTGTATTCTCAGGTGGGCTGCAGGGCAGTTCTGATCTGGCTCTTCAAAACGGATCTGGAGCAGCTGGTGTGTATCTTCTAGACACGCACTGTTCAGATATGCAGGTGTTAGCGTTGTGTGATCCCTTAAAGCAAATCCAGCCATCTTATAACTCAGTTTCCCTGTTTACCTTTGCTTTTGCGTTCGTTAGATTGTATTCAGAGGTATTAAGGTATTGCCAAAGGAAAAAAAACTAAAAAAATAAGTTTAAGATGGTTTGTTTATTGTTTTCCCCTCTGGTTCTATCATTATTGATAATCTCACTACGCCTCCACTTTATGCTGCTGACTGACCTCTAGCTCCAATTTAGAATGTACTAATGAAGAATATGTATGAATTTTATTCACCTCATTTTATAGGCAGTTAACAAACTACAAGGTGTTTTGTGTCTGCTTCCTACAGGATCGGCAGTTATCTGGTGTTACCGGGCAGTAAAACGCCGTGCTTTCTCCCAATTCAGTCATCTGTAATTGCTGTAGTTCCTATTCATTGTATTTGCCCATACTGTTAGGTCTGTAACTCAAGCATCAAAGAATATCACCCCTTGTCACTTTGGGGCTCTCCATTCCAGAAACACTGCCATTATATAATGTCTTGAGGGGAAAAAGATAAATTATTTATCATTTCCTTTTGTATAATATATAGCAGCACTTTCTCGGTTCTGCACTCAGATGTCTGTGGTGAACTGGTTGATTTAATGGATCAAATACATGGGACGTTTTCGAGCACTTGTTTGAAATATTTAACCATTTTGCACATTCCTGCTGGGTGTGAGTTTGGGTTTTTTACACACTGAATCTAGATCGATCCCATTTCTTGACTCTAGCTTATTAAAGTGCCCGCATGTCTTCATAATTCTGTGTGCAGTGAACGGCTTTGTGGGTTCCAGCGGTGGCAGCAGCTTAGCGAAGCTCGCACCACCAAAAACCCCTCCTCTCCCTCCTCATGGGAACAGCCTGGTCCCAGGTAATCGCAAGACCGACCTCCGAGTTGTCATCCCTCAGTCCAAAGGAATGATGCTGGTATGTGTTGTTTTTTTTATGTTTATGAACTTAGAAAAAAATCCTTCTGTCATACATGTTCAAAGTCTCAAAACTGAATCATAAATACAAGGTAAGGCACACGTGTTGGCCACACGCAAGATAAATGGCCTCTGGTACAAAAATCCTGGTATCTTTTCTTTTTTTTTTATTAAAAGGCAGCTAACTTTAGTCACATCTGAATATGTGGTGCAAGTTTTCACCGAATGCTGTGATGATTGGAGGCGGTTTTGTATTTGATTCACTGACCGCTGTTTCTGTTGTGCACACAGTGTGAACGTCAGATGTTTTGGAAGCGAAACAAAAAAAAATTACGTGTTCCCCCGTTCACAAACACAAGTGTAGCTTTTAAGTCTTATTGGAGGCGGTCATTATTATCAGTGAGGGATTATGTGACCACATTTCTGGTGGGAAGTGAGTAAAGAAACTCCACCTATTCATCCCACATGTGGCAATCAGTGCTGCCTCTGTGAATCATCTGGATTTCTCATCATTCTGATCTCTCTGAAGCAACCGCTGAGTGGCTAATCATGTTTTCAGGAGGCCTGTCACTGTGATTCCTTCATTTAAGGAGTGTAAAGAGGCACTCTGAGTTCCTGCAGGTCTTTGCCAAATTGCCTTCTTTTGCTCTTCAGCTTTGCGTGTTATTTCTCTAAGGACCCTGCGTTTGCTTGTTGTCCTTTTTCAGAGGGAAAGTGTTAGAACCGCACTGTTGAATGTAATATTCCCACTTGGATTCCTTGACACTGGTGTGAAGCTTAACTGTTCACTAACCCCACCCTGTTCAGAGGAAAAAGAGGAAGATGAGAGCCGCTGAAAGGATGGTGTGTGTTTGTTTCATTCAAAAGCAGCACGTCTGTTTGATGGTGGTTTACACCAAACAGCCAAGAACAACGTCTTTAACTTAATCAGGGCGGCGAACAGAGACTTATCTCTAGCCTCATTACAATTGTGCAGCAATTTTAATGGCGTACAGCCTTGTTTGTTGTTCGTGTTGACAGATGCACCACAGGCCACTGGGGAGTAACGTAAAGTCGTAGAAAGTCCAGGAAATAACAGTGGCATTCTTTTTTATAACATGTTAAGTAGTGTTTTACTGGGTGTTTTTTTTTAACCCTCTGTTTGAGTGTGTGTGAGTTCAGCAGCGGATGACATCATGCTGGATGATGTCGTTGCTGACATTATCGGGCTGGAACGCCAGTGGCTCAGAGAGCAACAACACCAAACTTTCAGCAGTGTGTGTGATACGTGTCATTTAGACACATAACCAACTTTTTCTAGCCTAACTGGACACCACAGCTTTAATTTATCCTGACATGAAGCCTGTTGCCAGACTCTGTTATGTAGTAAGCTTTGGACTTTTGCTACAGTTCGAAAAAGGTTTAAAGAGTTCTGCGTTCTTCTCAGATGTTTGAGACATAGTGGAAACACAAAAGAAAAAATGATGTGGAGAATGATCTATTTGTCCTCTCTACAAAACATGCCCACTCTGAAATCAGTCTATAGTGACACCATGTGGTTGAAACAGGGCATCTGTTGAACTGTAACCACTACATATGCATAGTTGAACATTGATATATATATATATATGTATTATTTTTTTTTTTTAAATTGACTTTATCTGTTTTGTTTTCAGAGTAACCAGAGGCTAAGCAGCAGTCAGTCCAGTCAGCCCCTGTCCACACCAGTGGTCTCCATCACAACACCCAGTCTTTCTCACCAGAGTCTGGCCTACTCTGGCATCGCCTCTGCCTACAACAATGGTGCCTGCTTGTTTTTGTGAATATGCCAGAAAGTGTTTCTTACTTTGTTTATTGGAAGGGGTAGCATAGTTGCCATATGCTGTTCATTTACAAACCACCGAGCAAATAAAAGAGTTAAAAGTCTTGCATGCTGTATATAGAATGCATGTGTAGTTTTTAGACTTAAAGCTAAATGTGCTGTCATTTTAGATGTCAAAGACACAAAAACTATGCTGCTTATGGTAAGCAGCTCTTACTTAGATCAGCACGGAGAGAGACACAATCAATATAAGGAAACTGACTAAAGAGAGGGATTTTACTGTTTTAAAATGTAGAAAAACAACCTTTTGAAGCAAATCTCTATCAAGATTAGTTGGTGGCTCAGCGGGCCCAGCAGTTGCTCCACGTCGGTAGATGCCGATTTTAAAGTCCCGTATTAATAGGATGCCCGATGAACATTCCAATTTTACAGCAACGCCAGATAGATGCACAACCAGAGAGTTAGCAAGAATGGAAAGAGAGGAAAAAGACTGGCAAATCTGTTCTCTTACAAGAAAACAAAATAATATCTTTGAAGTTTTTTTGACGTAGAAGGGGAAAAAACAGAACCCTTCCAACAAAGAGCAGCTGAGAGTCATTATCTGAGCAGAGCAGCAGAACATCTCCACATATGGCTATTGCTTGCGAGCAGAAGGATCCAATCTATCCTGGAAAAAAAGAAGAAATCCCACTTCTGAATGCAATCAACTGCTGGCACCTGTGTGCTGACTTTTGATTGAGTGCACACTTTTAATTCTTGAATTTTCAATACAGCTGTTTTTTTTTTCTTTTCTTACTGTCAATCAGCCCAAATAACAGTACAGTTTGAATATATGCTGTCATTGTGAAGTGATATTTTTCTCATTTAAAAGCTGGTATTGCTCAGGGAAGGTTTAAATATGTCATATGGGTGTCCTCAGATAGCTGCTCTTCTCTCACTCAGACTAACCCCTGAAATAACTGACAGTTGAATGGTCCTAAATGGGGCTGTTAGCAAATACCACTAGAAGTATTTCAGACTGATAATGAAGTTGTATGGAGGAACTCCTCAACGTGTTGGTCTAATGCTTTCCGAGAGCTGCCATGTAATGTGTCCCCTCTCTTTGCCAGAATACTCCCTGAATAGTGCGGAAATGTCAGGCTTCGGCTCCACCCCAGGCCCCTCTCTGGGCTCCATGGCAGCATGGGAGCAGCACCAGCTGAGCTCCTTAGGGTGAGTTACTTGACAGAGTTAACCTTTCTTTCTTCGTGTATCTGTCTTTAATCTTTACTTTGAAGTGCATAAAGGGTGGGGTAATATGTAGATTAAAAGGAAAAAAAAAGGCCCCGGGGAGCTAATGAATTTTTTATTTCATTACTTGGTAAAGCAGAGAGCCGATCTTGACCTGGGTGAGAAGCTTTATGTGGGCTGCACACATGAGCTGCTTTCACATCATTTTCATGGAAATTAAATGCTGCTAACAGGCTCAAAGTGCCCGATAATCAAAGAGACCAGAGACAGAAGGGCAGAAAGTAAGATAGCAGACTCTGAGGAGATTAGAAAAGGGACAGTCAACCAACCAAAGACTTCAAAAGTAGCCAACAGATTAAGAATTATATTGTGGAATCCATCACAATGGTGTTGACATTTTTAACCATTTTCTGCCAGCCGCTGAGGCAAATCAACAGTCTTAAAAAAATAGTTATAATAAAATTAATTGGAAAGCTATCATTTGAATCCATCCATTCACACCATTTTAAGGTGTTCAGGGTTATGGTGTGAGCAGCTCAATTCATCACAGCATGACATGAAGTCATAGAGTCCTGGTGGTGAACCGGTCCAGATCTGTGGCCCACTGAGGACATTTGGACCACTTTGAAATAAAAACCTAAATCAACTGATGAGCTCATCTTCAATTATAAATGGCTCCTACGAAGTCATATCCAGGAGTTTTTTAGATGGAATATATATATACAGTATATATATTTTTTGCTTTCATTGAATGGAAGATTTAATGGGGGAAATCCACATGGTGTTAACTGTAATCGGTCCATCTGCAGAAGGGATGACATAAACTGATGGCAGTATCTGATGTGTATCCAGTAGAATTTTCTCTTCCATTGCCTGGTACAGCTGCAGGTTCAACATATATCCAGTAGGTGGCAGCCTGCCTCCATTCCAGTCAGTATCCAGGCTAAAAGGGGTTATAAAACTGTCATCATTCATTCAAATGTCTTTCTTTTATGGAAAGATCATAATAAAGGTTGTTTTAAAGATTCTGTGCTCGTTCAATGAAGATATGATGGAGAGTAAAACATTCAGACTTACTGGCTATAAAATGCAGCTGATAAAATTTTCCTGAACTAAAGTTCCAGGACTATTTTCCTTGAGGCAAGACTTGTTTTAGTCTCCGAAAAATCTCCTGAGCGTCCCCAATTGTTGTTTTTGTCAATTTTGTGCAATTTTCCTTGGTCCTTTTTACCTTACAACATTCCTAGATCTGAAGTGTTTGTGGGAAAGTGCTTACTTCCTCCATCTTTCTGTGTTTTATTGGAGCTGCTCTACTAAACAATCCAGCATTGTCTCCTCGCTAAAAGCAGGTGTTCACAGACGACTTCTGTCCCGTAATCCAGAGTTCAACAAACCACTGATGGTTTGTGTTTGATTTTTAGGGACAAAAATCCAATTCTCTTCTATTTGAACCATATTTTGCTATGTTGTCGTTGTCCTAGCTTTTCCTTTTTGCAACTTCCAGTTTGTTCGTACCTGCATATATTCAGCTTACTGGAGGAAACCAACATCTTCTTCCACAGTTTAACTACCTCCTGTAGGGAAAGTTGTCTTAATCCTTTCCAGTGTTTTCACTGACATCGCTCTTAAAATTTCCTACAAATTTGCAACTTCAGTTGCGGTATAGTTACAAGTTACAAACGTTCCCCATATTTTCTGAGTTTGGGCCCTTTCTGTCTACATTCAGGTTGGTCTCTCCACCAGGTGGCGTTTTTGCTCCACGGTGTCACCAGCTGCCTCCTCTTTTCTTTTAATGTGTCTGCAGGTCAGCAGGCTCCAATCTCTCCATGAACGCCAACCACAGCATCAGCATCAAGGCCGAGCCCATCTCCCCGCCCCGGGACCACCTCAGCCAGCCTGGATACATGACTCACGCTCACAACCCCCACCACCATCATTCCTCCGCCTCGTCGTCGGCTCGCGCAGAGATGGGGAGGTCTCCCGCCGACAGCGTCAGCTCCTCCTGCAGCTCCCAGGAGGGCGTGAGCGACCGGGAGGAGCAGCATCAGCAGAGGCCAGACCTCCACTCTCTCTCTGCGGGTCGGTTAGAAGGTGGGGACAGCCCCACGATGAAGCGGATGCGAATGGACAGCTGGGTGACATAAACCCTGCAGTCGCACAGCACGGGGACACACGCGGGAGGGACTCCGTTATGCAACTGCAATCTGGATTTTATTGGCCTATCATGTTTCTTTGAATTATCTTTGCCGTTTTTTTGTATTTTTTTTTATTTTTTTTTGCCCGAAAGAGATGTGCAACATCAGTCTGAAGGCTCTGAATTTTTCAGAAAATCTCAGAGAAGCGCTTTAACGCAGATCAGTAATGTGGGTCCAACCGCAGCACAGTCAGTCATTTTCTCCCACGGCTGGATGTGATCCTGGGCACAAAAGAAGAGGGTGGGGGACGACATCACTGCCAATGTTGTGATTTCATGTTTTGGTTAGCAAAGTAGATGTCAGCCAGTTCATATCTGATCTTCTCAGGGTTTGAAATGAGTCCAACATGAAAGCAATAATCCCTCCTCACCATCTCTGTTCCTTATGTTTCTGAAACGCAGATTGAGATCAGCCAAAGCTGTACTGTTTAGTTTTTTTTCTTTCGTTTTTATAATGTGCACAGGAAAACACGTTTCATTTGAATCTTAAAATGAAAGCCATTGACACTTGTATGTATTGTCGAAAAATGTCTTTATTGTTTTGTATATAGTATCTTTAATATATATCACTTTTGGTGTAACTACATAGTTTTGTCAGTCTGTTTTACCTGCCCACACTACCTTTGACAAAAGTGCATTTGTGTGAATTGTTTTCTTTGGATATCGAGGTTTGTTTAGGATAAACCCTTACAGCGGAACTGTGAATCCTCCCAAGGGAATTTTTAAAAAATTGAATGAAGAAACATAAATCCTTAGATTTTCTTTGTTTATTTAAGTTATACTAAAGGAATGATGTTTTGAAGCAAAACTAAGCTGAAACAAGCGCTTAATGCCGTCCTCAGGGCTAAATCTCATTAAACTAATAACATTAAGAAAGCATAGATTAAGAATTATTTGATGAGGAAATGTATATGACACACACAGTCATGTAATCGCATAAAAACTATTTTGATTTAAAGCTAGGAGCACTAACTTTCACTCCAGTGGATCTTTATGGGATTTCCATAGTTTTAGCCTGATTGTAGCTTGCAGAATGGGATTTTTGCATGAACCCAACAGACTGTTTATTTGGTTGACTTAAATACAGGATGGATCCAACCGCACTGAATCAGTTTGTAGATTTAGCACCACATGTCAAATAAGCAATTCAAGAAACTGACTTTTTACACCCAAAGGTGCCCGTTGGCCCCGGCAGCGTGGTAGCAAATGAGTGAAGCTGAGAAACTGGAACATGTGGGTTATTACCAGGTGGTGAATGTGGTAAAAAAAAAAAGTGCAGAAGTGCTGCAGAGGTGTAACCACAGAAGCTCTGCTGAATGACTCTCTGCTGATGAACAACGATCAGTAAGAAATCAGCCATGACGATGTGAGCTGAGGCAATAACGGTGATTACGTTTCTAGTCAAACGACTGATGGAAAAACTTTTCGGGGTTCATGTGAATGGAAAATGTATTGATAAGATTGAAAATTACAACCCTGAAAAAAGTGAATTTGCCATAACCATGAAAAAGTCCAAAGGATATAGAACAAATATCAGTTGGCCTGCAGATAGGGCAATATAGTATTGCTGCTGATAGTGTCACTGATAATTGAGTGGTGTGATTAGCTATAATAACACACTTTTACTTAAACTGAACCGTCTGACCAAGCATGAGCCAGCTTTTTAGCAAGTAGCAGATTTGATTATAAGAGGAAATAGTCAATCAGGGACTCAGTTTTGTTAGATAAATGTACAACTTAAAGAGTCAAATAGAATCTGAAGTGTGTAATGTGAGCAAAACAATTTTACCTATTCAATAGAAGTGGTGAAATAGTTCGAATGAAGTAGTACAGTATACGATTCTGATTAGCTATTAAATAATAAGCATCAGAGCAAAATATTAGAGTCAGACATGAGGAAACTCACTAGGGCCGAGTCCGAGTTTCAATACTGCTAAGGCCACTAACACCTGTCATACAAATTAAACTAGTGGGAATTATCAGTGGAGCTAAGGTGATGTGGTCCCAATAGGGTCATAGCTGTGTTGCTTGGTTTTACTTTTTTTCAGAGGTGGGCCACAATTTCCACCTTATAATTAGATACAAAAGCCATTGTAACCACGCAACTATTTACATGCAACCACACACATGCCTTAATAAGCCATTTTCTGCATCGATTTAGAGCCCACTCGTTTTAAATTTGGAGAACTTAAAAAAATAGCACGTCGATTTGCTTCCTGAGGTGTAACGTCATTTTCGTATTTCGAAGTAAGGCAGGGACGGGTTTTATTTTCAAAACATGACAGAGGAAAGGGGAGGGTCTATCAAACTGCCTTATTTCAAATATGTTCGTATAAAATACTATTTTAATAAAAGACACGACTTTTTAAGGAGGGAGGATAAGAACAAGCCCCACTTAATGACTCACACTGTCGATTAGGACCCCCGGCGCGCGCTTCCCGGAAAAGCTTTTAATTTCTGCAAAATCTCGCGAGCGGCTTCGTCGCGTCGCAATTTACTTCTGATGCTGGAGGGGCGAGGAGGAAGTCTCATCGGACGGAGGAGCCAAAAATCTATTTTCTTACCAATTCCTGTGAATGTTGCCTAAAGGCGATGCCTTAAGGACCTGAGGGGAAGTCTCGGGCGTTTAAGGCAGCACAACGGGGCCAATAGCAGTTTGTTTGGGAGCTTTTGAAGCCTGAGGCGGAAAGTTACCTGTGAGGGGAATCGAGGTGGGACCGGTCAGGTGAGCATTCTTCTTCCTGCGCCGTAACGTTTCAGCTGGCAGGTATGTGAAAAATGTCACGGGCAACAGGGGAACCCCTCTATAGTCGACAACCTGAGCCTTTTTTTTCTTAATGAAGGTTTCTCACGCCTTCTATTACGGTCTTTTTTCTTTCAGTAGTTGACTTTGGCGATGTCACGAGCAAAACTCGCGTTATTTTAGAGCGAAGGTGGCAAACTCTCGGAGTGAGTTTACTGGAAAACAGAAAAAAACGAAATGAAATAAACAGTTCATAAGTTATCAAAGTATTCGCTCGTGTAACATCTCTAAACTTAACAGCAGTAGAAGATGCCCTAACGTCCACAGGTTGAAACATGTGTCCTCAGTGCGCAGAAGCCGTCTGTGGTTTTATTTATTTATTAATTTTCTCACCGTGGAGTTTTTAAAATGACTAGTAATAATAGTCTGTGTATAAATTGCTCTGAGTATTTGGTGTGGGTTTTTTGCGTTGCGGGGGGGGGGGGCAACTAATGTTAGTCTGACACCCCCCACCCCACCAAAAAAAAAAGAAAAGAAAAGAAAAAAAAGAAAGTGTGGGAACAGCAGACTGCGCTGTAGTTACAGGAAACTGCTTCTGGTCGTGTTCTGACACGGCAGGGCAGGGGGGTGATGCACATACTCAACAGAAAGAGGGGAAAAATAAGCCCTGCAGGGCTGTGACTGCTGAATTATTGAGGCAAGTATTTTATGTAAGTTTCTTTTTTTTAAGTGCAGAAAAACAAATACTTTGGCTGGGAGTTTGATAACTATGTTACCTGTTTGTGGTTCAGCTGGGGCAATATGATCTCTGTATTTTTAGAGGATGCAACCAGCACCAGCGCTTTGATGTTTTAACAACAGATTAACCCAGCATCGTTCCATAAAGCTATCATCCGTTATCTGTGGGCTTTGGGGCTTTTTGCAGAATCACTGCTTGTTGTATTTTCCCGTGCAATGACCTAATTTTGGAGTGATGTGCGTGGCTTTCTTGCGGTCATGCATACATCTGGCTGCTCCTGCGCTTGTAGCAAGAGTCGCAGAGCACGGCTGTGCATGGATTGCTATCTGCCACACTGCTTTAGAAGGTAGAACAACAGCCATGACCTCCTCACTGCCTTAAGATTGCTCATATTGTAAAATCTCCTCACATGCCGGTTTCTGTATGGAAGTACTTCCATGTGAGTACATGGAAACATCCACCAACATCTGTTTTAGAATACATATGTGGGTGCAAATTCATCTGCCAGTGCTGATTGTTTAAGGAGACGAGCGCTGACCTGTTGTAATCGAGGAACTTCTGGGTTTTCCCGACTTTGCATTTCATAATGCTCAGAATGTTTTCAGTTAGTGAAAGTTCTTGGACTCTTCTTCTGTTAGAATAGATGCAGTGATTGGTAAAGATATGATCAGTATGGAGGCAATAATGTTGTTGTTAAATCTGTCTTGAACAAGTTGTTAAAAATGAGTTCAGTGCCATGCTTTTGGGCAAGGATGTCATCAGAATAGATGGACAGAAGCTCCTTGAACTGAGCTGGTATTTTCCTCCAACCTTCACATGTACTCTGACCTGGCTTTCATAACAGAACCTACCACACGGGCTTATATTTTAAATCAAGTGTAGATTTCCCCTGAGAGAAAGTGGATCTGAGTCTGCTCTGACTGTTGTCTCATCATCCGTTATTTCCACAGCTGCTATCTACAATATCTACACCCGCTGGCCTGCGAGGCCACCGGCTTGTTTATCTCTGGTTCATGGTTACAGCAGAACCTTGTCTATGGTCAGGGGACTGTTACTGAATGTTTTCCATGCCTCATTTAAACCACACATCATTTACAGCGGGTCATTTTGCATTCAAATCTCTGGCTCGTTTTTTCTGCCGTGTAAAACTTCAGCGGTTGCTGTGGTCGTTTCACGCTTCCATGAAGCGCCCGGGCCTCATAAAACTGTTCAAAGATGGGCTGTTGGGATTATTGGAACTGTTAAGGGTTAATTATTGATGTGAAAGGTAGAAAACAGAGGGAAATGTGCTTGGATAATGGTAGTAGGATGTTGTGTACCACTGATACAGAGATCGCACTCTAAAATCACTGTTAAACACAGTTTTTTTTTATTAATCTGTGCACTATTTTGGCTTTGAATTCTATCAGAATTTTTAGTCTGGCTTTTGGCAAGGTCTTTGCAGGAAACAATGCAAAATAAGTTAAGAGAGTGACACACTTTTAAAATGTTTGAAGTGTTCTGACTCTGTTGCTCTGTAAAGTCAAACTTGGTGGAGTAATTCAGCCAAAGTGAAGCAACTTTTGTGCACGGGTTGCACCAGCTCCTGAGGAAGTGATGTCACTCCCCGGCATTGAAATTGCCTGTAATGTGTGCGCTGAAGCTCCTTCACAGCCGCACACTTCCTAAAATCGTTTTCAGAAATTAATAATTGCAGGAGGTTCGAATTAGACCTAATGTTTGTGTGGAGAGCTGCACAGGTTTGTCTGGAGTCTGAAGGTGCATGGGGGCCCGTTTGTAAAGCGGCTCCGTGGGTGAAGGAAGGTCTGACAGCTCCCTGTACCAGCAGGTACAAGGGTAGAAAAAATCCCCAGAAATTCCATAATACCCAGACATAATAAGCTCATTGTCTACAGCGATGAAGCCAGTTGCTTGAATGAGGTCCAGTTGTGTAGACGCCACCATATTTGTCTGGCTTCAGGAAGCACCAAAGAGATAACAGTGGATGGACTCAACATGTCCCCCTCTGACCACCCACGGCGCTACTGGGCAGAGGGTGAGCCCCCTCTCCCTTAACCTGTTCTCACAAGAACTCTGCCTCAGCTGTTTGTGCATGGAGACCTATTACATCCAGACATTTGATTTAGTGTTACATTACTAGATTGTAGTTAGTATTTGGCAGTTGTAATCCCCACAAGGGAGGGCTGCTGTTGTGATGTGATGTGTTGGTCATTGCTCTACTCTCTGCTTACATTTCACAAGCTGCCCTATTCTCACTCTGTTCCTCCTCCATTACTAATATTGTAAGATTAAGACGTCAGGTAACATTTCATTCAAGAAAACCCAGATGGATGGGTGCAAAGATGTGTGCTGTGCTGTGGGTTTAACCAGATGTTACGGTCATCTAAGTGGGATATTTCAAACAAAAATCCACCACTGCTGGTTTTTCCAGTTTGATTAAGTTTCTTTGACTGCTTCCATTTTGCCAAGTCATTTACATTAACATCCCTGATGGAGCGTCTCTTATCTCTGAGATGAAGGTGGACTGTCTGGTCCAGCCCAGACGGGTGTGGCCTCCCTCTGGTGAACCATGTGAGAGTTTAAGAAAACACTCGCTCAAACCTGACCTTTAATAAATGCCAAATTCACATCTGAAAGGGATTTGAGTTTAATATAAGATACTCCAGTAATGTATAGGATAGAAACATTGCCCTGCCTTACTGTCCAACAGCATAAAATTCTGCTGCTAACAAGATGTGATGTGAGGAAGGGAATTGGGTTTCATCACTATCTATTACATAAATGTTCAGTTTTTAAAGGCATTGAAAACGTGGAGCCGGCACAGGAGAACAAATCTGATTTAATAGGCAAGACCACATTGACAGCATTACTTAAAATCCATGTCATTCAACTTTTCAAATTAGCTCACATTATTCAGAGCCTGGTGCAATTTTGGTGCTACCTGAAAATCGCTCCACATCGTCTATTTTTGAAGATTTAAGATCACGCCATCCCTCTTAATCTGGACCATTTTTGACATCCCTCCAGACACTAACCTCTCCGTTTTTATTAGTTGGGTTTTAGCTTTCATGACCTCCAAAATGTGTAACTCTTGTACATTTGTATGTTAATAGCAGAGAAACTGGAATCTACTTTAACTTCCCAAAAAGCATCAATCACTTTCAATTCAATCTTAGACTTTAAAACAAAGCTTTTTAATAGGATGCTGAGAGAATACATTTGAACATACTGCGCATCTGCTAAACATGCCCTTTTAACCCATCAATCTCTCTTCAAACTCCCCTCAGGCTTAAATCAGGCTCTACACAAGTGGTTTCCACTTGTTTGAGGATTTGCATCATGTGACACCGACCCAGAGGACAGGATTAAGCATGTGTACCAAAACTGTGTGACAGACAGCTGACAAACCTAACGTGAACCGCGATCTGGTTGCTGTGTTCCTCCCCCGTCTTGTTGCATGAGGAAGAGGAGGATAAGAACGATGTCTCATGCTTACTCGCCCGCACGGTTTAATGTTTACCAGGACTAGCAATGACCTCGGCATAATGACACGTTTTTGGCACATAATTTCCCCCGCAAGGTTAAGTCTCGGAAAGCCTACTTTTGCTGCCAGCACGGCATTTCACTGTCGGCTTATTTATCTCGGACCTGGACATTTTGTAACGATTTCAACATGACTTTTCTGCCGAACCACTCGATCATGACCAAGCTCCGCTGTCAACCTCACTAACATCAGCAGGTCACGGCCTGAGCAACGCAGGGCAGTGAAGTCAGTTTACCATCAGGGCGTCATCCCTTCCACCGCCTAATCCTCATATTCAGGCCAGGCCAGAGAGATCCAGATGTTTTTAAGCAATCAGTTTTCTGAAGAATATTCATTCATAATGTGCACTCGACTCCACCTCGGCTTTCTGGCTGCATTTTTCCAGTTTTGAGGCTGGTCTCTGGTGCAGAGCAGGTGCCTGCTAGTGTGTAAGCTTTGTTGGGCGGCTTTAGAGCTTTAATGGCGCATCGCAATATGGTTTGCCTGCTTTGTTCCTTGACTCTTTGTTAATTCTTTTTCAAGGGAGGAACTCTGTAGTGGGTGACATACAAACGACAGATGACTCAGTCCAATAAGCATTTAGTGTGAGTGTGCATGTGCGTTTAGCATGCCCAAAAGCCCAAAAATGAGATTAGAAATTCAGTGACATCTTTTTTTTTTTTTTTTCAAATATGATAATTCAACTATCCCAAGGGATATTAAAATAATCCAAATCGTAAAATACTCTCCTTGTCTCCTAAATGAGATTTGATTCATGTCATCATCAGGGCATAGTTCTTGGATTAAACTTTAAACTAAAAGTGCTCTCATTCAATTCATTTGGATGTCCACATTTACATAATTTGAAATATATGAGGTGAGATTAACAACAAGCTCATCTTATAACTTTCTGTGCCCCCAGAGTTTAAAGATATTTGTTTTGAAGGCAGAAGTCTATGTCACTGAGAGAAAGAAGATTAACTGGTGTCAAAATGAGCAACCAAGAAATACAAAACAATGTGAGTTCTATTGAATTTATAGGTCTATTTCATTCACCGTACGGGATGCCGGAAAATGATTAATATAGTAAACTGATCGAAAACGTTCATATTCTATTAAGGCTATCTCTCTTTTAAAAACAGAAAGACCCGATTACATTGTGACAGGAAGAGCTTGCCATGGTTGGGATGAGGTTATTACTTTATTACTTGAGGGCATTTCCTTTCCTTCATTTCCACTGCATTCTTCTGTTACTCCCTTGTGTGTTTTTATTATTCCAAGAGCAGTCAATGATTTAGAACTCGCAGTCAATATAATTATTAACTTCAAATCACCATATTAAAGGTGTTCCGCAAAGTTTATTAAGGAACTGTTAATGTTTTTTTCGAACATCCCTGTTAGGTTTTTAGTTCCTGTTTAATAACAAAACTCCCTTTACGGTATGCACAATGTAAATTGTAGTGTTGAAGTGAACATCATGTCTGTTTGTACAATGTGATATTCCCTGTAAAACTACCCTCTTCATTGCCATTACAGTGAAGCTTAACGGACACGGATAAGAGGTCATAGCAGTGTCATATTGCAGTATTTATAGCATATGCCGCTTTTTATCTGTAGAACATTTGCAATAAGGTATTTGTGCCAGGCCCGTGCAGTTTGATCATTTACTGCTGTAGCTTCAGGTATTAACACCTCCCCCCTCCCGTCTGTGTTTTAAATAGCTTTCAGTGATGTCCAGACCGTAGACAGCGACTGATACTTCTCGTCATGGAATCCAAAAAGTCAGGCATGCTGCACCATCTCCGCCAGAAGATGATTCCGCACCTCCGGCGGGGCAAGAGCAGCTCAAAGAAGCCAGACGTCCAGTTCGATCACACCCTAGACCACCGGATGAGCTCTTCTGTCCCGGACATGAGGGTCATGAAGCAGGAGTACTCTCGCAGCCCCTCCAGGGCACAGCTCCAGCAGCGCAGCCCTCTCAGCCACAGCAGCCCCTCCACGCCCCTTGTCAGGCCTGCTCGACACCCAGTAGGCCGTGGGAGTGGCCCTAGTGTAGGTGGAGGATCTGTGCAGAGTGAAAACACACTGAGCGTGCCCGCAGACTGCAGAGACTGGGCTTCCTCTCAGGAGTCTTTCAGCAGTTTCTGCGCAGAGGAGAGTGGCTCCCCACAGACACAGCCCAGACCCGTTCAAGGCATGGAGCCTGAGGAGCTGGCCCTGCCGGAGATGATGACGGTCTACAGCCCTGACGTCGGCCAGGAGGAGGTTTCCCAGGATAGCTCACAGGTACAGAGTCCTTCAACAATAAACAAATGTTTGATTATCATGTTATATCTCCAACATCGGTCTAATAGACTCCTTCATTTTCAGATATTGTCTTCTAACTATGTCTATCCTTCCAACTCATGGTTTAACACCCTCTTACAATCAATATAAGCAACAGAAGGATAAGACTTGTGTTTTGTTTCCCGTAGCTGTTAGGTAAAATGATATGCCACGCTGAACGAGTTGGACTTTTTCATGTCCCTGGTGTGGCTGAGGTGTCAGGTGTATTTGCACAGGACTTGCAAAGTTTAACTTGGAGGAGCTGGATACAGTCGCGCCTGAATATCCATCCAAAATCAATAGTTTACTGCAACGCTGTGCAAACTGTACCTGTGTGCTTTTTAAGACCGCCAAACTATCAACTTTAAGGGCTGGGGCCTTTACAGCTTTGCTAAACATTCAACTTACTGAAAACAGTGCGAATTTGAGCCTTTAGGATCAAATGGTGGTGTCACATGAGCACTTTGTCGTGGAGAATTCATTTTCATAATTTCAGTACGTAAGAAAATGTGACTTGGACATTATTGGTTGGTTAAGGATGGACATCTTATTTTGTGGTCTTGTGCTGAATCGACATTTACCAAGTTTTTATATTTGAATAAGTCCTGTGATCGACCCCAACTCTCTGGGATAGGGTACAGCCCCCCTGTGACCCTGCTAGGAATAAGCGGACAATGGATGAATGAACATGCATTATAAGAGGATCGCCTTCCACTGCAGGTTTTGTGTATGAAGAATGGGGTTGGACTGTACTGCACTGGAGACACCATCAATTTGGTGTATATTTATCCTAAAAACTACCATAAGTGATATCAGAAAGTATGCTCTGAGTCAATAACAAAAAATGTAGAATCAAAGAATGTTGATGATATTCATGCAAACCTTAAAATAACCGGACAATTTGAAGATTAAAGCAAGGCCCTTTTACATTTAAAAATCTACTTAATGATGGAAACAACATTGGTGGTGAGTGGTTAGGCTCAGTTTTTGTGACAGCAGTCAAACTGAGGCCGTTCCGTCACACAGACCATGCTAGCTCGTTTGTACAGGAGAGATTCACCTTCCATCCCTCAGCGTTCACCTCATCAGACTTCTGTCCAGTAAATATATGTATGGCCGTTGTTATCCGTAGCCATACCACAGCTTTCTGGCAAAACATTTTTTATTCAGCAAAACATTGCTTGTTTCATTCCCGTGCTTTGCTTCTGAAGTGTAACTGTGATGCAGATCGACTTATTAAAATTCAGATTTTGAGAGAGGAACGGGAACAATATTTAATAGACATACCCGGGACATGAGATTTAATTTTTCTCAAAGTGCTGAATTTCAGATAAATACCAGTTTTTTTTACATCAAACTGTGTGGGTTCATTTGAGATAAAACAGGTGATGTAAATGAAAGCTTTCTACAGATTCCATTCAAAACCAATGAAACTCGGCAAATGAACGTCACTGCTTAAACTGGTAAAACCTGACTTGCAGTGTCTCACCATACAATGAAAGGAGACAAAAGAAAACAGAATTCTTCTGCTTAATCTCTGCCTTCTTTACATTCCAGACAACCATTGTGTTTTATAGCCAACTGCCATTTGCTTTTATTTTCTCAGGTCAGCGTTTCTTGCCAACATTTTACATTCGCCTTGTAATATATTTACGTTTTGTTAAATTATCTTCCCCGCGACCCCATTGGGAGTAAGTGGTATAGAAAATGGATAGATAGATGAATGGAAAAAATATCTTCACAGTTATTTGATTTATTGCACTTCTTTCCTCTGGCATTTGTCGGAACCACTGAGGATCTTTTGTTTTTGGCGATCTGAGCTTTTCGTGGGACGCCATTATCGGGCCTCATTATTTTTCCATCAGTGCTTAAATTTAAACACCTGATGATCTATGTGTTCTCACGCGTTTCCCTCTGACTTAATAAGGCGTTATCATTATAGATACGATAGATATGAAACACAGGACGCTATCAGCAGGACACAGGCGTGGCCCACACCGCTTCTGGCTGCTGATGTTGTTTTAGTTTACCAGTAGAATAGACCGGACTTCATCTTATTCACATGTTTACATCACTCACTGTAATGTTGATGGTGTGGAATACTATATGTTGATTTATAGGGGCCGTAAAGGTTACTTTCAGGATCACTTTGTCTTTTTCCTTATTTGTTGCACATTAATGGGTTGTAGAAATGTGTAATTTGTCTAAATAAGATATAATATGCGTCCACCAAAAAATAATTTTTCGGAAAATTCTAGAATTTATATGCAATGCATATAAACAAAACAAGAAACCTGCCGAAATGTACATTCTCCTTTTTTCCCCAGTAAAAAGCTCTGGGGCTAAGTCTTTTGGGTCCCCAGGACATGGGAATGTTTAATAAAGGGTGAGAGGATTTTTGCTTGTGTTAGAAATGCCAAACTGGGCTCAGTTACTGCCCCACAGCAGACAGAACCTTTCATTTTCCGGTGCTTTATGTGCCTTTTCAAACCTCTTTATGTGGTATCACATCACCAGCTTTTGAGGAGTGTTTGTCTTTATGCTTGAACTATAATGATAATGATTTCAGCCGTCTCAGTGTAATGACCAGAACAACCAGCACGTAAGTGATCCTCCGCTGTTCTTGTTGTTTGACTGACAGGCATTTTAAACAATGTGAAAACTGTGTCTCAGAAAGATTTAGCAGGAAACAGGATTCCTCTTTCTTTGTGTCCAAAGTCCCATTTCTGAGGCTGGAAAAGGTTGCTTTTCTAGCTGCTGTGATATTGTGATGCATTGTGCTTCAGCAGAAATACACTCGTGTCAAAGTTTAATTCCGGATTATTGGGTGAGGTTCAGGGCAAGATGAGACACCAGGCTGCATTTCTCACATCAGTATCGTAACCAATCAGAGCTCTGTCAGAGCACACAGCTCATTCACTAAGCGATGTGCACTTAGAGAAGTATCAGGCACTCTGCTGAGCACCTTTAGTAGTCAGAGGAGCTGGAATCCTAACAGACTGAAGCTAGGAGATTCCAGACAAGTGAAAAGCTGATGCCGATGCCAACATTATGAGGAAACATGATTTCGATACTTACATTTTCTGACAGCTTGTTCTGTGTTTACAGATAGGAAGAATGCGTTCTGATAATGGGAAACATGTGTGTCTCCAAGTCCCATAGGTTCCCCTTTACCGCTTTGAAGTCAGGATGTACAATTCAAATGGATATTAACCCTTAATGTAAACTTAAAAAGAATTGGTTTGTGTTTCCTAGTATGAGATGGGCAACGAGACTGTGAGCGTGTCAGAGAACATCCAAGACTCCCCCAGGTCCTTCCTACTCACCATCAACCTGAAGGAAGGACGCAACCTGGTCATCCGGGACCGGTGTGGTAAGAGAATCATTCTGGCTCCGCTAAAGCTTCAGCACGCCGCGGCGGGCTGCACTTCCTCTGTATTTGCTCTACTCGCTTAGCTGTCTGTGATATAGCGATGTTTCCTACATGACAGCAGAAAAAAGGGAAGAACACATTAGTGTCACAAATTATAAAAACCTACACGGCAGTTCCATATTTGTGCGCTACTGAGAAGCAAAGAAGTGTTGGAAACCTATCCTTACAGGCATAATTCAGCATTATCATTAGAGTTTGTCACATCCACATACATCGTCATGCCAGACGTCTGAGTTTTTGCAACTCTTGTTTTTGATTCCATGAGTCTGCTTCTCATGTTTGAACATGCATGGATGCAGGTTTCCTAAGTCTGACAAACGTGCCCAGAGAAGATAAGCCAAATGTACAAACCCAGTAAAATAAATACATTTTAAAAAAGCAGTTTTCTCAGTCATCGCATGTGATCGACCAGCACCGGCCTCGGTTTGTTTATTCAGCCTCACAGATGAAGGCCAGGAATGTCTGTTTGAACAGACATTATGGTGCTGCGCCAGGAGCAAATAGAGCTGAGCGTCAGGCGAGCCGTGCAGCTCCTGTAACACCCAGAGCAGGATTCCACACAGCGTATTAGAACCTGTCCGAGACACACCCCAGCATTCAGCACAGCGCAACCTTTCACTCCCAGCGTGTATTTAGATCACATTTGTCTGTCTTTTGTGGGTCTGTGTTTACACATGCAGACTGCAGGCATAGATCATACAGAAAATGAAGATTAGGAAGAAAGGAAGATTAGTGTAAAGAAGGATTTGATGTCACCGCGTCATTGTTAAGGGCATGCGGTTGTCTAAAGGCAACACACAAACAGCTTTTTATTTATTTCTATCTCTCAGATTGATCATATTGTCATCCCAGCTCACACAGCTTGGAGTGACAGGTGTTGCTGCTGGTTGAGAACATGACTTGTGACATGATGCAGGAGAAGGCTTGGTCATATGCACATTTGCCTGATTTTCCTTCATATATACTAGTTTGATTTTAAATATCACAGAAGGGTGTGGTGAGAGAACACACCGTGTACCACAAAGTTGAGTAAATAAAGATTTCTAAACTAGTTTTGACAGGCCACAAGTTAACTTTTCAAGTGAAGTCCTCTCTGGACCTCACTGGAGAGAACCCGCCACAGACTTTCATGAAGGCTTAATCCAGAACAAAAACATATTCTCAAATTAATTCTGTCTTCTATTACAAGAAATCCAAGAGTCTGACATTATTAACCTTAGCGGGAACATAAAATCACCCGTTAGAATGAGAAGTTCAATTGCAAATTCAATTGGTAGACTGCAGCACTCACTTGGTTGGTTGAAAGAATATTTGAGGATACACATGCTTTACTTCAAAGAGAGAATGATTTATCAGCTCGGCAACGAAAGCCTGATCAAGAAGTGTTAAAAAAAAAGCCAAGTTCAACTCTTGTTTTGTCTTTGACTACACATGAAACCTTTCAAAAGAAATTCAAAACTGACGCACAAGGAGACAGGAGAAGATAGAATTGGTTTTCACTCTGAAATCAGGAAGTTGCACTCAGCTGGCGTCACATCCTACACACAGACACACACACGATGGACACAACACAGGAAAGTAGTTTGTTTCCCTCAATGTTCAGAAAGAAAGGTAGAAATGGGGTTAAAGAAATGGACTGGAGGGTCCGCTTCAGTTGTTTCAGCACAGTGATCTACAAAGATGGGGTTGGGCCTGCATAAAGAAAAAATAAGTATTTCTTTTTTTAGTGACTTGGTTATGTTTTTCTCTGTCCTGTTTCTGCTCAGGTACCAGTGACCCTTATGTGAAAGTCAAGCTGGATGGGAAAACTATTTACAAAAGTAAAGTGGTTTACAAAAACCTCAGCCCCACATGGAACGAGTCATTCTCTTTGCCCGTGAAGGACCTGAATCAGAAAATTTATATCAAGGTAAAAAATATGAGTCGAAGGTTTTTGAGATGGAGTTTCAAAATGTTTCTGCAGAGCGTGGGGGTGGGGGTTTTCCCCAAATGTGGTGCAGCCCTGCAGAGATTCTGGTTAAGCTAGTTTTGTTGCAAAACTTTTTTTAATTTGTATCATTAATCAAAACAATGTATTGGTGCGAGTAGAATTGGAACAGAATCCCAGTGATAGTGGTGGACATGATCCCACAGTTACTGTAATCTAGTAGTGTTTCTGGCTTTAGCTGCCCCAGTAGAGTTCAGTGTGGTGACGGTCTACTGTCGTCTGACCAACACAGGTATATGACCGTGACCTCACGACTGACGACTTCATGGGCTCTGCCTGTGTCCTGCTGAGTAATCTGGTGACTTCCAAGTAAGTCTGGTGGTAAACTGGGAATGTACGATGTGTTTGAGGCACATGACGTGGGGCCTGTTGGTGTGAATCTCATATCAGAACTCAGATTAGAATTTTAAAATATAACAATGAATGTAAACATACTCAAAGTAATTCCTTTATTTGTTTAGTTTTTTTAACTTTTCGACTGTGGCAAAATAAAAGTAAAAATGTGCCCTCTAGTGGACATTCATTGGAGATGCTGGATAATATAATATTAGAATCTATTATGATAATAATAATTACAAAAATGATAATTGTTATATCATATATATGTAGTGATTTTTTTCTTTATAACCGACACAAACCTCATAAGCCACATCCTCTGTTGCAGAGGAGGTAGAGAAACCACATGTTGTGCCTGCACTCGTTTGCTGAATCTTTAGTCACACGACTGCCTGTCCCTGGTATGGATGTGCTTAACTCAAGTAAGGCTGGAATTCACCTTGTCTCAGGGTCAACGAGCTATCACTGGCACTGGATGACCCGAACAGCCTGGAGGAGGACATGGGCGTCGTGCTGGTTGACATGAGTCTCTCACTCAGAAATGGAGACAGCAAGAAAGGCAATGTATGACAAGCCCCCAGGTGTATTAGCTGCTTGTGTCTGTTCTGCACTGCATCCACAACTGTTTATGTTTGTAGCGCTTCTGTCGATGGCATACTAACCACAGTGTCATTTTGTTTTGGACCTAAAAATGCATGCTCCTGGCAGCAGAAGTGGCCGCAATTACGAAAACGAAGTATTAGGGTAAGGCATGGACGGTGGAGGGAACACGGTGGAGGGACTTTGAGTAGCCTTATACAGATATCTGCCAAATAGAAAAGGCATCTATGGTTATGAAAATAAAAATGTCATTTAGCCTTCCATTGATGACATATTCTCCCATCATGAGCAGATTTTGCCTCAAAAAAGAGCTGAGTGAGTTCCTGTTTTGATTTTCTCTCATTTGGCAGCTACCTGTACTTACTAGCTCTTGTCTTTTGTCACAAGAGGGCAGCAAATCACCACATTTTAGACTACAGACTTGTCCTTTTGAAGATGAGCTAAAACAAAATGTTTAAGTGTCATCGGATCATCAACTCTGAAACCCAGACTAATCGGTTTGATCTCTACCAGACAGTTACAGCTGTCACTACAACCCTCTTTTGCCATTTTCATGACACCATCATACCATTAGCTCCTGGTGTTTCAGCCGATATGGCTCAGTTGTTTGAGGAAATCGTCAGTTTTTCTCCCAAACGTCAGTAATTTCTTCGCCATGTTTTCTGTCGTGTGTTATGTGTCTTTTTTTTCTCTTGGTTTCCCTGTTGTCATGTCTCCTGACATCAATTACCATAATAGCTGCTGGTTTAGCTCTTTCCTTCATTCTTTTTTTATGTCTTGTTTCTGTCACGTTTTTCACAAACTCTTCAGTGTGAATCTGTGCATAGTTAGCTTCACACCAGTCACTGAAACCATAAAGCAGCAAAAAGAGTCATTTTATTTAAGCAAAGGTTTTTGTTTTAAATGTTTTACAGCAATGCCTGTTAAACATAAAACCAACCTGTGAAAAGTGGAAATCAGAGTATGGAACAATAGATAATGACAGACACGCTAATGGTTAAATCTGAGATGGCATTAGTCTGACTGCGTGCCTGCCTAGCATGCTGTATTTTTGAGCATGAATCTATCCAAACAATGCAGCACAATAAGGATCACATCTTTGCTCGTTAGTCAGGAAAAACTGTGGACTGTTTCTGCGTGCCTGTTGACTGAGCAATGGCCTTGCTGAATGTCTGAAGCCTGACTGATGTCTGCAAGCTGAATATGGATTAAATGAATCGCAGTGTAGCACATTGTTCATGTAAGATAATGTTATTATATTAGATCGCTTTTTTTATTAAAAATGAAATGGGAACTTTTTTGATCACAGAAGTACTTGCCTAATATGAGGCAGAAATGAGGGATTAGAGTCATTATCTTTTCATTAGAACAAGAGGTGTCTTTCCGTGGTTCTTATGTTAGTCTTCGGAGCCACGCTGCTGATCTATTAGCTTGAGTGCAGCTATTAGTTCATTTAACTTTTTATGTTTCTACTTTTTTTTTCTTGCTTCTCTGACTAATCCTGATCTGTGTCTGGTTCCTAAGAAGAGACATGCTGTTTAGTTTGATTCAATAGCATCCCTTCCATCCTTCATTTTTTGCACTCTCCCTCTCTCATATCATTGGTTTGCATTTTGTTGGCTCGCAGTCAGGAGGCACACCTCAGAGTGCTCGTTTGTCAGACACACTAAAGAAGAGTCAGCTGTGGACGTCCGTTCTGTCAGTGACGCTGGTCGAAGGTCAGGGGCTGCCGGTGGACACGCAGACGGGCCAGCTCTTCGTTCGCTTCAGACTCGGGGAGCAGCAATATAAAAGCAAGGTATGCAGTGGAGGACTGATGGCCTTCATCTCCCCTGCTCCTCATTATATTTATATATTTCTTTTTATCATAACGCCTATGTTTTAAGATGATGAGGCATCAACTAGACCATTTAAAAAAAAAACTGTTGTTTTGTCACAGCAGGGTTTTGTTACGAGGCAGTAACCCTTTAGTGTTTTTGTATGTTCCTAGTTGCTTTGGATAAATTAAACGTACAAAAGTATAGAAAATTAATGGAAGAATGTTTTTTAAATGATACGAAAGGAAAAAATTTGTACGTTGATTATAAAGACGTTGCATGACTGGAATAAGACCCAGGTGTATATAAAGTGCTGTCAACTGTGACCAAATGGTGGAAATGTTGAAATACAATGTGAATGTGGCTTACATAGTGGATCATTCGGCATGTGTTATGCTGCAAATGTTCTTTTTGCACTTTTTCCCACAAAAATCAGCCGTTATGAGATCATGGATGAGATCACTAACTGTGAGGATACAATCATGGGAAGTTAACAGCTGCTTTTATCTACAGAACACAGATGAATAAATTATAAAGTTACATCTCCAGCTAGAGTGAGCTCAGTAAAAGGGCACCAAATAATCATCCTACACCCTCAGCAGTTTCTCAGGTGGAAGTCTCAGGAATAAACGGGTATTTCCTGGTTACAGGCAAAACATTAGCACTTTGCTGAGGACCGGAAAAAACGCTTTAGGAAGTGGAACTAATCAGAACTCAGATATATCTCTGACAGATCAGTAAAGCACAATGTTTGCTGTTTGGGGTTCAATTAGGTTGAATTTAATGCTATCCTAAATGCTGACGTCTTTATCTTTTATGCTGTAACATCAGGATGCAAACATTCTGCCCCAAATACAAATTCAATCTGTGTCTCCATGCACCCCAAGCCAGAAAGAGCTGCCCTACAGTTGATGATGATGATGCTCAGTTTGGCCTGCAGTCAATAAGTCAATAAGAGTTCAGTAATCTCCTCTACTGTGCCAATGTTATGGAATGAATGCCTTTATAATCTCTGATAGAGATTTTATAAAATCATAATTTATGTAAGATTATATAAAGGGGCATTCCTAGAAAAACAGACTTGACATCAAGAGAAGAGCCAGTATTGATTTGACATCATTTAACCTCTGGATGCCCGTCATTGATCCTTGTGTAACATCACCTTTAATGGCATATTGGATCTGTCAAAGGTTCTGTCCCAGTTCATCAACTTACGGTTTTATTGTGCCACCACAGAAGCCTGCAGGAACTGGCTGGAACTTAGACTTTATTTAAAAAAAGATCAACTGTGCTAAATTTACACAGAGATTTTCTATCTTTTGTCTGTTTCACGTTCTGTCTGGTTTAGAGTCACTGTAAAGTGCACAACCCTCAGTGGAGAGAGCGTTTCACCCTCAAGCAGTTTCTGGACAGTCCTCAAAACCTGGAGGTGGAACTCTGGTCCAAAGAAGGGCGAAGGACCGAGGAATGCTGGGCGGCGTGAGTCTCCCGGTTCTCTGAGCCTGTTTTATTGTTTGTCTTACTCTTACAGAGATTAAATGTGTTAAACCCCTTTAAGATTTAAGATATGAATTCAGTTTTATGTAAAAAAAAAAAAAAATAAGAATATTTCTTTTATAGATATCTGTGATTTAGTAATGAAACTAGTGGACGCTAGTTCTGGTTTAAAATGAAGGATATGTCAGATTACATGTCAAAGATCAGGTTTCCAGATGGCAGCATGTGTGGAAGAAGAAGAGTGGCCTTTGACATGTTTTGTGATTTTGGACAGAATGGCGGGATCATTTGCTGCTGTCTGATTTGAAACTTTCACATGATTTATTGAAGTGTGCCTAAAATCTGATTCTTCATTTTAATTCTAACCCAAGTTTTTTCTGAGCAGTTGATGCATGTGATGATGTGGATTGGCTTCAGAGCGTGTCTGTGTTTTACGTTTTTGATTTTTGTTAGCGGGCACATTTGATTTTAATGTTTGGTTTCTTTCTGTTTAGTCTAGATGAACGAACCAGCTAAGGTTAGAAAAATGGATGGAAATAAAGCATTCATTTTAGTGATTCTTTCTGTTTTAGATCATATTCAGATACCGAATCTGTCATGATTGTGTCCATGTTGGATATTCGTTAAATATGCTTATGTGTGTGTGCAGGTGGGAAATTGACCTGCTCAAGGTTCCTCTTGACCAGAAGCAGGTGTGCACACACAAACTGTCGCAGGGCACAGGACACATTGTCTTCCTGCTGAAACTGAGCCCGTGCAGCGGGGTTACCATCTCCGACCTCTGCGCCGCGCCTCTCGATGAGCCTGAGGGGCGACAGAACCAGCTGAACAACTATGTCAGTATCCTGACTTTTGTGTGTACCACAGCACTTCACCACCTTCTAATGTCAATACTGTCAGAACTATCTTATAAAGTATTTGGTGTCATGGATTGTGCCAGTAGAAAGAATGCACATGGTCAGCAGCGACACTCAAACAGGCTGTGGCATCCAAATCGCGATTGGTTAGTAATAAAGGTGAAAAAAGTGTGCCAGAAAAACACTGCCCACACCATTTCTCGATCGTCAGCAGCAGCCTGGACTGCCGATGCGAGGCAGGTTGGCTCCACGGATTCATGCCTCTGATGCCAGACACCGAGCCTGCCATCTGCAGCCTCAACGGAAGCCGAGGTTTAGCAGAGCAGACCACACATTTCCAGTCTTCCACAAAACTCTAGAGACTGCTGTACATGAAAATCCCAGGAGATCAGCATTTCAGAACTACTTTAAACCATCCCGGCTGCCTCCAACAATCATGCCACACTCGCAGTGAGACGCAGCTCGATGAGAACATTAGCTGAACTTCCTGACCTTAATCTGCTGGCTTTTAGCCGCTGCTCTGCGACCACATACAAGGATCTGCTACCAAGGCTGATTGGATAAAGTCAGATGGAAGCAGTCCAGGTGTTCCTTATAGTCGCTGCCTATTTTTTTAACGGCAAAAGAGGACCTGGACTCTGAAGTATCCCACTTTCTTCTCTAGCTTCTAACAGTTTTGTATCGTGTAGTTGTCCTCGGTTCTGTGTTGAGGGGCCAAGAGATGGCAGCATCTGCACAAGAGTCTGAGTGTCCTTTCTGCTTCATCTGTTATGAGATGAAAACAGGGTTTCATGAATTGGGTGTCATCCTCAGTTTCCCTTTGAGGATAAACACACAGAAGAGAAGCCAGGGCTCACGTGCACCCAGTGCATAAGCCCCACTTGATGAGCAGAACGAAGCACGAGAAAATGCTGCTTTTGGACAAACCACCCCATTACAACCCACCTTAAATGTTGTTATGAAAAGCTTTCGGCTTAAGCACCATGGCAGTTTGTACATGCTAAATTTGGGAGGATGTGCCCAGAGGGGTCTGATTTTCACATGCAGTGACATGCAATCTTGCTGGTGATGTTTAATGTGTCACAGTGAGTATTTATATGGATTTATCGACAGCTGTGTGTTGTGCAGTTACAATTATAGTCTGTTCTTTATTTGAGGTTGTGTGGAAAATAGACTTGTAGGGACCTATTATTATCTTTATGTTATTACATGTGATAAAACATCCAGATACTAGTTTTTTTTTTGTCGTCTTGTTTTGTTTTGTAAAATTTTGATGTGCTTCCGGACCTTATATCATCTGCTTATTTTCTCCTCAGAGTTTGCAACGGTCCCTGAAGAACCTAAGTGATATCGGTTTCCTCCAAGTCAAAGTGCTCAAGGCTGTGGATCTGCTGGCTGCAGATTTAAATGGTACTTTAAACACTGGAATGTATTTGGAAACGGAAATGACGACTGGCGCTCACTGCTCACTGCGTTGTGTGTTTGGCAGGGAAGAGTGACCCTTTCTGCGTGTTACAGCTGGGGAATGACAGACTGCAGACTCACACCGTCTACAAAAGCCTCAACCCAGAGTGGAATCAAGTCTTCACATTGTTAGTTTGAGCAACCACGTAATTTAGCTTTTATCACACCAAACTATAATAAGTAGCATGTATTGTCCTGTGCCGGCTCATCTGTCTCTGACCTCCACGTCTGCCTCTGCAGCCCCATCAGAGACATTCACGATGCTCTGGTTGTGACTCTTTTTGATGACGATGGAGACAAGGCGCCAGACTTTCTAGGAAAACTCGCCATTCCCCTTCTCTCGGTAGGCTCTTGCAGACAATAGACTAATCTATTTACACTAAATTAAAGTGAAGAGGGCAATAACACTTCAGTGGGTTGAAGACTTGCTAAGATGTAATCTAGCGTGACTGATAGTCAGGTTCACGGCCGAGTTCAGCACCTGATGCCCTTTCTGTCCTGCAGATCCGCAGGGGACAACAGATCGCCTTCCCTCTGAAGAAGGAAGACTTAGGTGGGCTGTCGAAGGGGAGCATCACTCTGGAACTGGATCTTATTTTTAACCCTGTAAGTAAAAGAAAAGTTAAGCAAGCAGTGAAGACACAGGGACCTTTTTTCTGAATCTCCTACATAATATTATATTTTTTAAAATGTATTTGTGCCAGGTCAGAGCAAGCATAAGAACCTTCCAGCCGGTCGAGAGGGGCTTTGTGGAGGATAATCCCAAATTCTCCAAAAAGGTATGACAAAATAAAGTTCTTAATAAAGCTGAAAAAACAAATATTTTGGGCTTTTCATTTGAGGGGATTCTATAACCAAGGAAAATCTAATGAAAGCTTCTTTCTCAACTAAAATGATCAATTCATTATTCAAAAACAGTCATTTGGAGTAGGAAGTGTTTACCCTAGATAGCTAATTGTTTTAAGGCAAAAGCAGAAATGTCATGTTCTAAAAAAAAAGCACATGAATTTGAATTTTACCTTATCGTGTTTATATATTATGTGCATAAGATTTTTGTTCATCGTGATATATTATTTGAATTGTTGAATCCAGAAAATGATTTGCAGAGTAGTCAACCCTGAAAAGGATCTGTTTGAATGATTCAAGCTTCACACCGTTTGATACAAACAGGTTTTTTTCAAATAAGCTCGTAACACTGCAGACACTTGCCTGATTTAGCTGAACTGAGCTTTAATTGAGCCCAACTGTGAGTGAATTCTTGCTCACCGTTCTGCCACATTAGTTTGATATACAGTGTGCAAGACAGGGTGCGAGACAGGGTGCCTGACTGTCTGTGCTCCTCACAAAGACTCATTGTTGTCAGACAATACATTGCTCGCGAACGCCAAATTTGGCTCGCTCACGGAGGACTCTGCTTGTAACGTGCATGTTTTCGGTCCGTTTTAATGCTGCAGGTCTTATTCGACAAAATCAGGTCAGACGACTGACATTTCCTTGCCCTCCTGACCACAAAGACGCATGCCAAAACACACGCTCGCTGTTTCTCCCCACCGACTAAATGCTCCTTGCTCAGTGTGAGTGGGGACGTCTTACAAAGTCCACGCTCTTTGAAAACACGATGGGCTGTAACCACGCTTTGAATGCATCCTGCCCCCCGTATTTATCTGCTCTCTTTGTTTATTATCTCCTACTTTCAGGCTCTGGCCCGGAACGTGCTGCGTGTTCAGACGCTTTACAGGGCTATCAGGTCGACTCTGCAGTACATCAAAAGCTGCTTCCAGTGGGAGAGCGTTCAGAGGAGCCTGCTAGCCTTCCTGGTGAAGTGTTTTTACTGCTTATCAACACACTATCTGCATCTCCCTCTTGTTTTTTTTCCTTCAAGGCTGCGGAACACAACTGCAGTCTGGCCAACCCCTACTTGAACTCTCCCAGAGAGAATCTTAATCATTCCAGTGTTGGACTCAGCAGAAACGCAGGCATTCGCCCCGGCTCTTTGTTGGAGTGGACGCTTTTCAGTGTTGCTTGTCTCTTGGATGTGGAGTTAAGCCTCAGCTGGAGAGAGCAGAGTCCCAGTGGAGACCAGTTAGTCTATTTTTGTTCCACTTCCCTGACAACTCATTAACCCTCCATCCAGTCTGTTCTGGTTTGATTTGGACCCCATTATGTAGACAGAGGTTCAATTAACTGACGTCACTGATAAGGCCGAATCTCCTGCCTGCCATTGTTGACTACGGGCAGCCTCTTAACCTTCCCTAAACAGCAAAGCGAAGTGCGCGCCGATCTTCTCGTCCTCACCTCTCTCACAGATCGGCCTCGATAAAAACGGCACACAGCAAGTCGCTCATTAACTATTCAAGCAATCAAGGTCACTGAAAGTTCTTTTTGTTTTTACGGCTCCAGCCCTGTAGGTGGCAGTGAACATTAAGTTCTCCGGTGGAGGATTTTCCTGGAAAAGCTGATAGGATGCTGAATGCCAGCCAGGAGCACAGTTTGTTCAGCTTGCTGCGAAAAATGGGAATATCAGTCGAGCTGTTTTGAAGAGAAGCCACATCCTCCGAGTGTGCTTTGAGTGACACATTTGGGTTCACAAGGATCCGTTAACAGATATTAACTACATCCAGCTGGATAGAATAAAAAAATAATTATTTTTTATCTCTAGTTAAATGTGATCATTTTTAAAAAACCCAGTAAAAGCATAAGAGTATTTCTCAATCCTCCACATGTACTGTACATGTGCTGCTGATTACTGGATGTAATACTTTTTTTTTTTTTTTTTTACTTGACAGCTCAGTACGCTCTCTGAAATAGAATTCATACAGGCTGAGAACACACACACACGCGCATCCTCCCACCGCATGCCGGTGTTTGAAAGACAGTACCATCTGTACTCATGTTTTCACACTAATTCCCGATGCCTTTTCAAGCCTCAGTGAGAGGAAATAAATGGCTTCTTAATACCACCACATAAGCATAATGAATCAAAGCTTCACTCTGCTTGACAGGATACAGTGACGAGCCGCCTGCACCATCTGCCGGCTGTCAGACAGACAGAGCTGATACAGCGTACCTCCGTTGGCGCCGGTTATATCTGCGAGAAGCCTCAGGCCTGCCAGCGTCAGCTTGTCGTCACCACAGAGCCCAGATCAGTCACATGCCAGTGCCCCGAATTTTTGACGTGGAAACAAATCATTTTATATGTCATTTCTTCCGGTAATCTGCTGTAAATCGGAGCGAAAATAGACCCCCGAGTTCCCCACCTTTCCTCTCTCTCATCCCGCGCCCCGCCCGAACACGCAAGCAGGAGGTGGGGTCACTCAGACCTTCCATGTAAAATCAGTGTTCTCAGCGTGAGAACACATATGATCTGTTTTTGCGTTTCCACCTTTCCAAACTCAGCAACCGATGCTTGACGGGGATGATCCTGATCCTGGGACAATTTAGCACGTGTACCTCAGCGCCTCAGTCTGCTACTTCAATTCAGAAATTATTAAAAAATAACTACACAAAAAAAAAAAGCCTGTGCCCAATACAAAGTGCCTACATGCAGCAGTCTGTCCTCATCGCCCCGTCATTTCCCCTCAGGACATGTAATCTGTCCAACAGCAGAGGCTGCTGGTGGTCATGTGTTGAATTAATGTATAATAGTTTTCATTTTTCCCAGCACATTCAATTTTGATCTAAAAAAAAAACAACTCACATTTCACGCTTAAAAACTAACCCTCCCCCACACACATACACACAGAAAAAACAAGTGGAAATCTTCCTTCTTCTGGTCTAATCGTTGTTCCCCCCAGTTCAGTAGCTCCTCCAGCATTTTTTCCCCCTCTTGCTAAGTTTTCTGTGATCTGGATTGTATTCCCAGAGCCCCTTTTTGCGGTCGAAGGCTGTGTAATGCCTCTCAAGCTGCAATTATCACAATCTTTATGGGCTGAGTATACATTTCCACCAAAGCGTGACTTTCTCCCCCCCCCCCTTGCTTTTTCTCAGTCATTACGGTCCTCACTAATAAAACATAACCCTTCCAGCGAGGAACTGGTTTCATCCCCTCTCCCAGGCTCCGGTTTGGCTTGTGATAACACAGACAAGAGTGTGCTTGGCCTTTGCACATTAAAGCTGATGGTGGTGGCTGCAGAGGGGAGAGCTCCGATCTAATATCTTTTATGTCCCTCTGTGCCTCAGAAGAGTGATGTCTTAACCAGATGTTAACTCTTTTTTCTCTTTTTTTAGCCTATGTAAAAAAATTAAGTATATCGGCCCTCTTCCGCTTTGGCCTGCGCTGTCTGTCTGACAGGAGAATCTTTGTGTGTGTCCATCTGTACCTACCCACCTGTTATTTGTTCAGAAGTTCAGTTAAAAGAATTTTTGTTTTCACCTGAGCCAAAATCCAATGGCGTTTGCAGCATGTCGATGATATCCGCAGACCTCCCCAATAGGCACACTGAATTTACTGGATGTAATGAGTTGCCATTCGATTTACGCAGCTCGTGTCAACAGAGATGCTTAGGGTGAAGTGGAGATGTGTTTAGTCCGGCTGAGCAGACTGACTGTACACCTCTGCGCATGCTGATCAAAGCTTTGATAACGGCACATTCATCGTCATCTTTTATCTCCATGTCACTTTAATCAGCAAGATGCCAGCAATTTGACTCTTAGCTGACCTCTCTGCCGTCTGCCTGCAGATCTTTGTCGTGACCGTGTGGTACTGGGAGTTTTACATGCTGCCCTTCATCCTGGTCCTGCTCATTTCTCGGAACTACATCCAGATGCGAAATGGACGCGTCAGTCAGGACCTGGTGAGTCCAGAGCACCCTACATCAGCCACAACCCACAGGCTCCTGTTCACAGTCCTTTCTTTTTTCTTCTTCATCATTATTTTGTAGGAAAGCAGTAAATAAAAACCCACATTATTAGCTGGTATGTTCCCATAGCAACAAGTTGAGCATATCCTGATGATAATGAAATAATACACTAGTACAGAAGGCTCACTGAATAGACTAATGTAACAGAGCATTGTAGTCTGAACCAATTTACAGCGTTTGTCCTTTACCGACTCAGCTTTCCTTCTCTTTTCCATCCCCTTTTTTAGTTTTTATCCAGGCCCTGCTTCACGGTAATTGGTCTGTTGTTCGCTTCCTGTTTTGACGGCCCAAATTACCACCAAAAAAAAAAAAAAAGGCTTTAGCACTCCGTTCTGAAAAGGTCACGATGCACGGTGCTTTTTCTCCCCACTGTGACCATTCTTTCACAGAGCAAAAATATATTCTCCACCTCCATTTCAGTGCTCGTTTAGCACAAACTAAAAGAAATTACACTAACCAAAGGATTGTTCAGAAGACAATGTAACGTCTCTGAAACTGGTTTGAAAATCAGTCTGAAACAGTTGTTTTCTTTAACCAGTTGAGATGTTGATAATTTTTCAATAAATTCATTGTTTATGAAATCTGGGAAATATCTTCAGAAACGTGTAGCCTTAGATGCTGTCTTCCTTTTCCAAATAGATTACCCCAAATGTCATAAACTGTCACTGAGACCGAGGCTGTATTTACAGCAAAGGTAACATTTTTTAACAGGGTTTTAAGCATGTGTACACCCAGTTCAACGGAGATAGAAATACATAGAAACTAACGTAAAGAGAACATAACTAAAATCAATCTAATAAAAGAAAACAAAGAAATGCAACTAGAGGTGGTTGATTATCAACCAATGATTTATATTGCAAGTGATCTAGTGTATATTGTACAAGCCATTTGAAAATTGGCCTTTTAAAAAAGTTATTGTTTTAATTTTTATAATGCAAGCTATGAAAAAACGTGTATTGTAAAAGTAAGAAGTGCTTTAAAACATTTATTTAAAAAAAGGTTTTGACTTTAAGACCAAAACAAAGGGCTTTGTCCCTGCTGATTTTATCGGTGGGATTATCGCTGCTTTAAGATATTCTTGCACGCAGGTGTTTTAAAAAAAATAATAAGCCACAGCAGCCAGCTGTCCAGCACCTCTGACTGTTTCCAGATTCTCACCACAGTCTCCACAACTGCTTTCCTTTCAGGACAGCATGGATTTGGCAGATGAGGACGAGGATGATGAGAAGGTGTGTGCCTTTCTTTTTTTTTTTTTTTTCTTAGATGCTCTCAGCTGACTTTTGTCAGCTGCCGAAAAGAGGTGATCTATCTTTTTTTTTCCCATGTTGACAGGAGCGTTTCTCCATGATCTTTGGCCGCGTGTTGCTTAGCTCCTTTTTATTCAGCTCTAAATCTTCTGATTCATTTTTATTCCTGCTAACAACCCCCCCCCACCCCCGTCCACACGCACAAACACATCCACCTTAACTTGAGCCCACTAAAAAGGCGTTGAAGCTTAATCAAGACCTCACCAACCTGTTTCCGCATGTCACAACACATTCGTATGTAAATGCAGGGGTGGAGAAAAGGGTTCTGCTGCGTTTGGGGAAAGTCCCTGAGCTTAACACAATGTAGCACCATCAATATGGAGCTAATGACAGCTCTTAGACATGCTTCTTCAGAGCTCCTTTTTAAGTTTGCCACGACTGCGTTGAAATGCTTTTAAGCGTTTGAAATGCTTCTTCCAAATGACAGCAGTTTACTGTAGGCGTTTTGGATGGCTTGCACAGGTCTGAGCTGGAGTGCTCTCTCCTCCTGGTTCCAGTGGGAACTTGACCCTCAAATGGCTGAGAAGCTTTAGTGCGGTGATTAATAATGCTGTTAGGAGAAGCCAGGCTTGCCTTACATGTGGTTTATGAGTCACTGCGTGTCTGGAATATCCGTCCCGCCTCGCCTTCGTCCTCGCAGAGCCCAGCTCCTCTGCTCAGGCCCATAACCCTCCGTCAGGCTGCTTATCCCCCCGGGGATCTTCCAAGTCTCTCTCTGTTCTGTTTACTTTAAAGTTCGTCCTCTCTCAGGGGGCCCCGGCTGGCCTCTGAACAATGGCCCGTCTCTTTCATAATGTGATGTCCAGCCCCATTCTGAAGAGCCCTCACCTTTAAACTCTCCCCAGCAGATCAAATCTGGTGGTCCTGGGAACGTCGCAGGCATCAGTCTAACACACAGAGCTGATGCGACTCGGCTGGTTTTTAAGCAGTTACTCTAATTTTTCTACATTTAGCTAAATGTGCTGATGTCACTCAATATAATTAATGAATCAAGGAAAATTTGATTTGGTTTTAAGCCTTTTATTATGATGAAACATTCTTTCTGTTAGAGGAAAGAAACAAAGAGTTGAGAGGCTTGGAATTCAGGAGCTGCATACGTGTTCACCAGAACAGATATATCAAGATTTCAAAGTCTTAGAGCTTTTTTCCCTTTTTTCTTTTTTCCTTTTTTTCTCTTCTTTTTTATTACACTTGGGTTAACATAAAAATCTGCCTTAGTTTATTCTCTCACTATTCATCCGTATATCAATGTACTCTTTTTCGAGTCTGTGCTGAAAAAACAGCTCTCAAATTGGTACAGAAATGTACGAAAATATCAAATATGAAAGAGTCGTGACACCTCTTTGTGGCCTTTTCGCGACTGCTGCTTTTTTCCCTTTGGCATTTTCCCGAGCAGCCTGTTTGTATCGTTTTCTGCCACAGGAGTCAGAAAGAAGAGGTCTTATAGAGAAAATCCACATGGTCCAAGACACAATCATCACACTTCAAAACCTGCTGGATGAGATCGCCTCATTCGGGGAGAGGATTAAAAAGTAAGAAGTTCACAAATCCATCCCCAATAACAAGACACTCCGGTTGGATAATCAGTTTTAAGTGGAGGAAATTTAAATTCGGAATCACGCCATGAAATAGTTTTTTAATCATCATGATGTCTTTTTGTCCTAAACATAATGATAAAGTCTAAAAGAAGTAAAGTTAATTTATTTTTGATCATTTCTCCACTGTGTGCGTTTTAGATTTCTTCATTTCTTCATATAAACAGCCAGGATGAATAAAAACAGGTGGAACAACTATGTCGCTGACTCTCTCTGGTTTTCAATCGTCAGCACGTTCAACTGGTCGGTGCCGTTCCTGTCGGGCCTGGCTCTGCTGCTCTTTGTCCTGGCCGCCGTCCTCACCTACTTCATCCCCGTCCGCTACATAGTCCTGCTGTGGGGTGAGTTTCACGCGTGTGTCCTTGCACGCGCCTCTTTTACACTCACCCCTACAAAACCCCCAACAGAGTTTTCTCTCTGCTCCTTTTTTTTTTTTTTTTTTAACACGCCCGGTTTACAAGAGCTAAAAGCGGGGAGATTAAAAACACCTGGCTGAACCAGTACGACAGCAGAACCGCTGCGCGTCCTCCAGCCGAAATAGAGAACACAAAAAATAGAAAGTAATGGGCTAAAAGGAGCATTCCTCGGACAGCATGAGACTCCCCCTGCAAGCATTTGTTTGTGTGGAAACAACAAGCACAGCCGCAAGAGCCTAGCCTTAATGATACGTTGGTGTGAATTTTTGTTTTAGGTATCAATAAATTCACCAAGAAATTACGGAACCCGTACAGCATCGACAACAATGAGGTGCTTGATTTCCTCTCGAGGGTTCCTTCAGATGTGCAAAAGGTAAGCTCCGCTGGATCAGCCGGTCAGGAAGCCCCGAAATCCCAGAGCCCGCCAGCTTTACATCTCACCACAACAACTCCCAGGCATTCTCTACGCCTTGTCTGTATAATTAGCTCTGTCTGTATAATTATGCAGCCCTGTGTAATTTCTGCTGTGTTTTGGTCATGGCTACATCCCCGGTTGGAGGTCTGCTGCTGGGCGGCTGTTCCCAGGCTGGGGCGGCAGGCGCCTGTCGGGGGCACGCTCGGGATGTAGCCACAGGAGCACAAAGTGGGACGAAGGAGTGGTCAGCGTTCCGAACACTGTCGCTCATCCTTCGCCTCTCTTATTTTTATTTTTATCCCTGTCGGTCTCCCGTCCTCCCTTCATTCCCCTCAGAGCTGTTTGACCCCGTTTGTCTCCACCCGTCCGTGCCCAGGAGCCACGGGGTTGATAGAAAGACACACTCTGTGTGTGTGTGGGTGTGTGTGTGTGTGTGCGTGGGTGTGTGTGTGACGACAGGCATCTAGCTCAGTGGTGTCATTTGTCCTCATTTGTCTTGCAATAAGAGATGAATGTTTTTTTTCTTGTTTTGTTTTTTTTGTAATGTTTACGTGCATTTAAGGCGAAAGACCTTAAAAGTTTTAGCCTACTCACAAAGCAACAAGATGATCAGTTTTATTTGTAAAACTCGTAAAACGTATCTTCAAGGTTTTGGAGGGCTGCCTTTCACTGACAGCTGAACTCCTTCCAGAGCATTTGTTCAGCTTTGAGTGTGTTTAATGAAGTCTGTGGCGTCTTTGTCTCGCCCGTCTGACACTGGCTGTACGTCCCGATCCCCCCCAGGTCCAGTACAGCGAGCCCAAAGGCGGCAGGAAGAAGAAAATCCTGTAGAAGGGGCGACGCTCTTCACACACCGTCACCTGAACGCGTCGCCGAGGAGGATGGCAAAGGCTCTGTGTTGATCTCAGAGCAACAAGGATGCCCCCCCCCCCCCCCCTTCGCTCATGGTGGCAACCAGCAAGACCAAAGACATCCTTTCTGAGGACTGGGCAGGGATTCTTTTTTTTTATCACATTATCTATTGTGTTTATTATATGGATTTCTAGAAATGTTTGTGAACCTATTTAAAAAGAATGTCCAGTTTGATATACTGTGTAGAGTTTATTCCTTAAAATTCTCTGAGGAAAAAAAAAAAGATCAGAAGCTGCTGTATTTTCTATTTTTGGCACACTGCAGAGTAAGACTTTCATTCCGAATGCTGAATTAGCAGCTCAGAATATTGCTTTTCCTAGTTTTAATGTGCAATGTCTGTAGATTTTTGGATGTCGATGGGAATTTCAGAGAGAAAGTATATCATTTCAGCCTTTATATGTGTTTATTGCAATGAGAAAACAACGTCGCGTTCCTTTTATTTCTGACATTTAAAGCCGAATTGACTGGTTAGATCTCACGGCGTCATTATGAACCTAAATCTCTATGCTGAAAGAAGTGCCTGCGGTAGGTTTTTGCTTTCAGAAGAATTCTCTCTTTGTCCGTGCGTCGGTTCGGGGTCAGATCTGTAAACACTTTATTTATTATGGGCAATTGCTGCAGAACGGCTGTGTGTTGTGTTATCTAAAAGCAATAAACGCAGCCCGCCACGTCTCCCATGCCTCTGTGCGAGTGCTCCCGCTGGAAGACCGTGGGCGTCTTAACAGCATCGTTTCAGAGACCCCCCCCCCCCCCCCCCCCCCCCCCCCTCCTCCAGCTCTTCATTAGGCTTTCATCGAGGCTGCGCGAGACCTCGCCGGCACCCCGGCTCCCCCGCTGCGCGCGCGGCCCCCGGGCGTCGCCGGGAGCAGGAGGACCTCGCCGACCTCCTCTCAGCTGCAGCGGGTAGGACGCCCGCAGCACGCATCCCATCAAACACCCCAGCCAGACGCAGCCCCGCTAACGGGCCGCCCAGCGCTCACAGCAGCCCGGGACCTGAGAGAGCCAGCCACCAGGAAAAAAAAAAAAAAAAAACCCGCACTAATTTATGGATCGAAGATCCGGAGTGCTGGAGATGTTGCTGCTCTGAGTAATGCCCTGGGATTCCTGGGCTTTCAAGTCTTGAGTGCGTGGGTTTCTCAGTCAACATGAGAAACGAATCAAATCGGAGGCAAACAGCTCTCATTAAACACAATGAGAACCTCCCCTGTTTTTGTACCAAACTATAGGAAAAACGTCTTCAGTGGCTGGCTGTGATCGTAAAGAAATTATGCTGTAAAATTCCCACAAACACCGGAGGGTGTCATTTAAAAATATTAATCTAAAAAAAACAGCCTTCTAGACTCTGAAGCACAGACAAAAAAAAAAGCAATGATGTGTCCAATTGTCTGGAGAAGTGCGGGGTGTGAAGAGTGTGGCAGGCAGATGACCCGCATGTCTCCTCATCTAGTTATGGTGTTGACTTAGGTATTCAATATTAATAACCTGCTGTCACGGACACTGGAAGGACAACTCAATCTGCCACTTATAGGCTCAGCATGAATATGGATGGGAAGCGAGAGGCTCCGGAATTACCGAGTGAAACCGCGGTTCACACGTGGGGACTAATGCAATGTGGCACATGCATCACGATGAGCCGCGAACGCAGCAGCTGATTGGTCTCAAAAGACTTGTTATAACTCCAGATCGGACAGGAGAACAGCCTGCTGTGTGTGTGTATGTGTGTGTGTCTGTGTTTGAGGAGAACGGCGCCACAAAATGAGCCCCATAGAGCCTGTGTATGTCCATTACTGTCCATTAACAGTCTTTATTAACTCATTAATAACTACATGCAGAGAGGCCGGGGCTGCCAACATGGAGACTTTGCCACGGATTAGAGTGTGGAGCAGCAGGAAGCTGTGTCCACTTCACCTTCACACTACGGCTGCACGTGTAAATGATGGGGATACAGATATGATTAGTGCTTGTATTTATTGATTTGTTTTCCCACCCCTGCACGGGGCATCGTCCGGGTTGAAAGGTTTCAATCCAAACACGGTTCAGGTTGTGAATAGCGTGGTCACAGCTGCCCATTTGTGCCGTGCCTTTCTGAATATGTTTCTGAATATTGGTGCTCAGGACAAGAGATGCGTAATTATGTTGAAATAGTCCGGATAATAAGAATCATTACCGTAATCATCATCATCATCAGAGCTGTTGACCCCTGGGCGGCGACCTGGGCCCTGCCCCTGTGTTCTGCTAAACAGGGGCTTTTTAGATTCGGTCATTTAACATAACCCTGAGCGGTTAAGAGCCCCGAAATTCCAGATTTCCTTCTTTTTTTAAAAACAAAACACAGATATTTTAGATTTTGTCACATGTTTTAAAGGTTTCACTCCTTTTTAAACATTTTAGGGGAGCTGAAGAGTTAGTCTATTGTAGATAAGTCTGATTTATTAGTGCATTTCTATTAATAAAACCACCATAATTTCCCAAGACAGGCATTTGTTTTCAGATTCTTTTAATCCAAAGCCTTTTAAAGTTAGTCATGAGCCCGGCACACACGTTACAGCGCTAACATTTTTCAGTCTCCAGACGGATGAGATGTTGATATGACGCCACATGCGGCAAGTTCACATGAGACTCTGGGTAAAAGGGAGCAGCTTTTTTTACTTTAATCAAAAGTTTAGACGGTATCAGGCTTATGCCTATATGCCTGATGATGAGTATGACCACCAACATCTTCTCCCTAGGCTGTCCGTCCTCTCTGTGTAGAGGAAGAATGGAGGGTATTAAGAAAAAGGAAGAATTTCTGTCCAAAAGTACAAAGGTCAAACAAGTCTGGGGCCACTAATTGTGTTTCACTTTTGGTGAGATTCTAAAGAGTTTAATGGCTAAGATGGAAGTAGACTGTTTAGATTTCTTTCAGAATGGAAAACTTAACATTCCATTCACATCAGTTTGACAGGCCTGACTTGAATTCACTTGTTTCTTTAATCCGTTTGAAGTCTTCCCTCTATACGTGAATCTGAGAAGACGAGGGCAACAACTGTTCCTGCTTCTGTTTCTTCAGGAATCTTTCATTTCTCTCAGGTCCTGCTCCGCCGCTGCACTTGCATTTGATAATGAGCTTGATACTTGATCATGCGGACACACCAGATATCCTGTACCTCCCACGTTTGTTGTGATAAAAATCCCACAGGGAATCTGGATCCGAGCAAAATCAGAGCTGCCCCGGGCCAGCGGAGGGACGGCTGTCACGGAGCATCCCGAAATCAAAGTCCTTTATCCAGGAGAGCCCGAGGCCGCGAGCAGTCCACGGCTGTGAGTGACAGAGAAGATGCAGAATCATTTCAAGAAACCAATATCATGTCCCGGCCACGTCTGTTATCGTCTCTGCTTTGCATAAGGCATCCCATAAATGTAACGGGTCCTTTCATGGTTTTTTTTCCCCACCTGATTTGTGTGTTTGACAAAAAAGTTTAACAGAAAACATTTTGAGTAACACTTTGAACTTCTGCACAAGTTCTCTAAGAAACAGCTGATCCAAGTTAAGGAAATGATGTCTGCAGTTTATGCCGTCAACATGCACTGATCTTCAGGATGTGTGCGACACAAAGTAGTCCAATCACATCAGCATGTCAACATCTCTCTATTGTTGTCAGAATTTTTTTTTATTTCTGGCAACCCTGAAAGCTAAGCAGACATTGTAATACAGTTTTATCTTTTAGCAAAGAGGTTGTCAACAACCCTCCAAAAAAGCCATCTCCTCGTCCTCGTGGACTTCCTTACTTCAGCCCTAAATGTGTTGGTTCAGACACAAAAAGGGGACTGAGAATATAGTAGAATATATAGTAGATTACTTTCTGTAATCAGACTGGTGTCTGTCATTGGGCTGTTGTCACTGAGCTTTTTTAAGCTGGAGTCAGCTAAAAAAAGGGTGCTAAAGAGCTTGTTAACACTTAGTGTTAGTTTATACGTCATTTTAATAGTAAATCATGTTTAAAAAATTGTTTTAGATCCCCAGACGTCTAACCTCCTTTCAAGGCACTGGTTGTGTTTAGAATATGTGTAAACCAAAGGAAACACGACCAGCAGCAGAAGGTGAATTCATGCTCATGTTGTGGACATGAATGGGAGTAAAAATGTTCTAGTCCAGCTGAATTTTGAAGTAAGAATTTTTCTGTGTTGGCACAGTCAGCTCTTTAGTTTACCTCTCACCCCTTCACCGGCCCGATTCCCATCATGTAAGCCGAACGAACCCCACCAGTGGTTTCCAATTCAAGTCCAACCTCACGGCTGCTGTGTGTACGAAAAGTATCACAGTATTTTATTTCTGTCATTTTGGCACTAACACACTTAGTACTATCCATTTTGCCCATATCAACATTTCTGAGGTCTCTGAGCATAGAATAGACTACAATGTGTTACTATCCGTATATATAACAACAGCTAACCCTCACATTTGACTTGTATTAGACACCATTCTCAACACCCGGCATTTAACTTTGCCGCCAAAGAGCAACAAATCCGCATAAAATCCCGATCAACGTGGCTCTTGATCCCGATGATTAAAACTGTGGAGCAAGAGCTAATAACTTTGTTTGTTAACTTTGTATTGCACACGTTCTGTGAAAATACTGAAATACGAAATTGACTGAGCAAAACGTGGACATCTGAATACCTGATATTAGCATATATTAGAGTCATAATGAAACCGGCATTCACCAAGCAAAACTAATAAACTTTGGAACTGTGTGAAAAAATATGCTGCCCCCCTTATTCATTGTGAGAACCCAAGCATTGTGCCAACCGCCACCTGCTGCTGGAGTTCACCTTTTGGTCTGTCTCATGTGCTTTGAGTGGCATAGACCGCCTGCCACTCAAATTAGTCATACCCAAACAAAGTCTTCATCTATTATCTGCCTAGTTGTGAAATGATTGTTTAAAGTGACCCCCGACACGTCGATGGAAACAACATTCCTCCTCGCTGTCGCTGGAGATGCTCATGCTTTTTGGGTATTTTGGAGCCAGAAGTTTGTCCAGTATCATGTTTGCATCTTCTTTCCTTTGAGGGCATGCTTGTTTTCAGCTTCTTTTTTAGGGGACAGCACTCAAAGTTGTGTAAATGTTGCATTTATTGGGAGCTGTTTTTTGTTTGTTTTTTTAACGGTCCCTGAAATTTCTAATTTTGCTATCACCGACGCCAAATCTGTGAGCCTGCAGTTATCTTATAGTGCAACTGATCTGACTTTGCTTTCATCGCAATAAAAGCAGAAAACATTAGGAGAAAAAACTGCTTGCTGAATTTTTAAATTATAACTGCTATTTGAAATGTCATCTTAGAGATTCACGTCACTGTGGGTTCTCTCCGGGTTCTCTGGCTTCCTCCAACCATCCAAAAACCGTCATGTTAGGTTGACTGGACATTCCGAATTGCCCTTAGGAGTGAGTGTGTGTGGTTGTTTGTCTTCGTGTGTCTCTGTGTGGCCCTGTGATGGACTGGTGAAGCGTCCAGGGTGTACCCCGCCTCTCGCCAATTGACCACTGGAATAGGCTCCAGCCCCCCCCCCACAACCCCATTAAGGAATAATTGGTTACGAAAATGGATGGATGGAGATCCACATCATTTGTTTTTGGTTCAGCAGATTATTTTAATAGTCAGAGAAATCACATAAACTGGACACGTGAGAGTT